TGTGCCGCCCGGCGGCTCCATGCAGCCGGCCCAACCTGCAGCCTACGTGCTGGGTCGTAACACTGAATTATTTGTCGTGCGTGACCTGATAGGGTAGTTTATAGCAGGGGGTAATATGCTAATTATAGCTTATATATTTTAAGAAATTAAATATTAAGAAAATTTTATATAAAGCTTTTTTTAATTAATTATGATTTTTTATTAGGTCTTGTATATAAAATAATTTAAGGGTTAACCTGTATAGTCTAACCCTTGTATAATTAACTACCTGTAACCTAATAAGGTTAATAAAGTAGGGTCCGCTAGCTATATTAATAATTTATTTGCTAATAATAAGTAGCTATTAAGTAATATAGTAGGGATTAATAAAAGTATATTAATTATCGTATTTTATCCCTTGAAATTTAAGTATTTATTTCCCCCACCTTTTCACTTCTTATTAGCTGCCTACCCCCTGAGGTCACGGACAGTTACATGTAGCGAGTCAATACATGCCGGCAGGCGCAACAAGCACGGACCATACATGTAGCGCATAAAACAACATGACAAGGGGTACCCTAGCTTCGTGACATACTCACACCGCTGAAACAATCTTGTATTGGGGGAAGGTTTTTGAATGCATGATGGCGCAATTTCACACATGCAGGCTGAAACGGTATTGGTACATGTAGTGCTAGTACATTGTTAGATATAGCCTGTCCGGCTTCGAAGCAGCAAGCTACTTTAAAATTTCCACTTTCTGTGAGTTTATATAGTTCATATTCCCAGTTGATTCCATGTTCCCTGCTCTGTTTCTTTGAGAATTATGCCTTGATCCCAGCAGCAATCGCTATATCCGTCCGAAGGGCATAAACCGCCGCATTGTATAACTCGTGTTGCCAAGAAGATAAACCCCGAATTACACATCTCGCAATGGGTACTCCGCGAAACCTGTTAGTAGGTTATGTATACCTTATTTCTCCGTCATGGGAAATGCCTCTAATGGTCCTTCAGATGCTCTCCCGGCCAACCTTTACCATGCGATGTGGTCGTATGCCCGTTTTGGTCATTGCGTTAGTCGCCTTCCATCTGTACTTGATCAGAGCCTGGCTCGAGAATCAGAATTGGGAGTATGGTGGTGTCGCGTCGAGCGCCCTCCTGGACGTGTCTGAGGCGGCGCAGAACGAGACTCTCGGTTTTGAGAAAATTTATTACATCAGCCTGCCTCAGTATGACACCGAAATTATCTTGGGACTAACAGTTTCAACAATAGCTAACTTGGCATGTCTACGTAGTCGGACTGATCGTCAGGATATGATGACTCTGCTCGCCGCATCTACAAACATCAAGCTAGCCCTTCAACCAGGAGTATTTGACCCCGCCCAGAAATCATTAGCAAATTCCCATATTCCAATTATTGCTGGGATTTCTAACTTGTGGGCGATAGGTAAATGGATCCAACGTCAACGACAAGGCGAAACCGAAAGGGAGTGAGAGTCTAAGACCTGAACAATTGGGATGCTGGCGTAGCCATGCAGACATTTGGCAGAGAATCATTAATGAAAATATACAAACAGCTATTGTCTTGGAAGACGATGCGGATTGGGATGTCGAGGTCCACGACATATTTCAGACATTAAGTGTGCAAATGAGGAAAGGCGAACTGAGAAAATGGAAAGCTACAAAGTACGAGGCTAATCACGCCCCTTATGGTAAATAACAGTTCCCACTCCCGCTCAGCTCTGGCCTATCTCTGAGTAGACTTTGATACTGACAGTAGTGGTTTCCAGGCCTAGACTGGGACCTTTTATACATCGGCACCTGCTGGGACATTCCCAATGGAGAAAATCGCCCGAAGCATCAAGTGTATAACGATCGGTTTTCTCCAAGTTCAACCGAGTATGTATATCTCTTACTCTGTACATGTCGAGCGCTCGTTGAGACTCGGCATGGAAATCGCATTATCGATATCGTCAACATTTGGGAGACTAAAATTTGTAGAATGACCGATTCCTTCCGTAAGGAACTAGAAGACTGGGGAGTTGACCTCGCGAATAACACCCGAGTTCGAGTTTTGGCGCCGTCCTGGTATTCCGTGTGCACTATTGGCTATGCATTAACCAACCGAGGAGCCCAGAAGCTGCTGTATACGATAGGAAACAGGGAAAGTATGGGAGCACCTATCGATCTGGCCATGATAGACAAGGTGCAAAAAGGATACCTGGACGCTCTTACTGTAATACCACCATTGGTGACACCATGGAAGACTGGGAGGGTTTCAGATAGCGATATTGATAATCTCGCTGAGCGGAAAGGAGAACTTCCCTCTGGTAGCGAGAATTTGCAAAACAGTGCGCGGAAGGCCATGGAGAACTCTCTGCTCGGCGGCCAAGGAGACTAAACCAGGAGGGCAGGAGTGAAAGTCTGATTATCCCGGGACACCGGTTAATATAATGCTTGTAATGCATTGGTTCCAGAAATGTGCAGGACAGTGGTAGGCTCGGGCATTTCATGGTAGTCTTGCCACGCTTTCTCGAACTTATTCAAGATTCTATTATTGTCATATATTGAGATGCTTTCTTGCATTTGTTTCTCCACCGCCACTTTACCCGTCTTGTGTCAATTGGTGGCCAACGGTACTTGCAGTCAGGGGTCAATGGTGGAATGAGCAACTGAGCTTTGCAGCGCTGAGGTCATTATTGGCATTTCCGGCAGGTTTGCCGGCAGCAGCATATATGCTATTGTTCAATTTGGTGGAAACTATATGAGGGAATTGCGTTGACGGACAGAATTACGACATTGATCATATTTGCAGCCAGACTCTATGTCGCATTGCAAAATTTCACGCGAACCCCGGCCTTTCCACCTTGGTTGTCAAGATTTAACCTGGTCCCACCGGGCCATACCAGACTTGAAGGTCGAGCACTTTATGGGGTGCCAAGCCCAAGGGTCAGTAACCAATCGGACGATAACAGGTAAATGGTGCTTTTATTTACCTATAAATTAAGTAAAATTAATTATATTAATAACCTTATTAGGTATAAGTAGTTATATTATATTAATTACACTATTGTACTCCTACTTAGTAGTATTGGCTTTGTTCTGTCACGGTCTGTGGGGCAGCGGGCCCCCCATCAGGTGCTTGGCTTTTAAAGAGATAGTGTGACCAGTTAATAGCTTTCAGGACCTGTCAATCCTTGAGTCGCTAATCAGTTGCCGATGGTCGGATCTCTCCAAGAGAAGATGCGTCTGGTAGATGCAATCGACAGACCCGCCAACCGCTAGGGATTTGATGGACTTGGTAGCCATGACTTGTTTCGTGAAATTAAAGCAGCAGAGTGGAAACATACAATGTCTTTGTCGGGTGCGCAAGCTTTCGCGGCGTAGTGAACTTTTATTTATTTTATTCGACATCACTAAGAGCAGTCGCAGCTAATACTTGATTCACCTGATCACGGGAAGATAATTGTGGTAAGCTGTTGAGCAGACCGTCGTGCCAAAGGGCCAGCGAGACAACGACAGGCGCCCACCCTAGACCAGCCAATAAATGCACATGCACGTTGACGCCACAAAGTCAATACAGGGCCACAGCTGCCAAGCAACGTCTGGCGTGACAATGACCAAGTTGCATAAAGAACCACAGTAGTAAATTATAGGGGGGGTGTCGGACCGTACGGGTACGGTACAGGGGGCTGTTGAACGGTACAGGGGGCTGTTGAACGGTACAGGGGGCTGTTGAACGGTGCGGGCAGCTATTGAACGGTGCAGAAAGCTGTTAAACGGTGTAAAAAGCTGCTGATGGTACAGAAAGCTGCTGATGGTATAGGAAGCTACTGGACGGTATAGGCACGGTCTAATTAATATAAAGGACTTATATATGAAAATTACTTATTAATTAATATAAATGTGTGTAATATACTATAGTGGTAATTTTATAATTTCTTATAATTACCCTTTTAATTAACTGTAGCTTATGAGGCTGTTAACCTTTTTTCTTTTCTTCTTTCCTTTCTTCTTTCCTTTTTTTTTTCTTTTTTTTTTTACCTTTTTTTAATTAGTTAAAATCATATAAAGACCTACTTTTCTGGACTGTCTAGCACTTTTTGGACCGTCCGTTGGGCGGCCCGAAATTCCTGTACGGTTCAACACAGCCTGTACGGTCCGACACCCCCCCTATAATTTACCACTGCAATCTATCTGACTCGGTCTCGTCGCACCAATACAAGCAACACGCACCGAGTCATTCCCGCCGCAGCGCCATCACAAGGCAGTGCTCGGCGTGATTTAGTTGTTCATGCATGTACACACGCCGACGGCGCCTGCCGCTTAATGCCAATACTAATTGACATCAAATTTGTAAGCACAAGTCGTCTATGCCAGGTCCGAGGCTACAGACAAGCCCCAGAAGATATGTTGCTCGAAAAGCATACAATGTCAAACGAGTTTTATATAAGCTATTTATAGTCAAGTTATAAAGCTAAAAATATAAAGGCAGTAGTGGGGCCCTATAGGGACCTGTACATAGCGACGCGGGCACCGTGTGGGCACCGTAACAGAGGTGCCGGAGTGACATGAAGTTATATGTACTGCTCCGATTTGGCACTGGATAGAACCAATCCATCCAGACCTTTGTTCCCTCGAGCTTCCAACTCTAGGGAGCACGGATACTCTGCGATAGTCGTCGTCTAAGCGCGGGGTCGCTGGGTGAAAGCCGCACGACGCTTTGCGCACCGGCCTGAGGGTCTTGGACTTGTCCATCTGACCAGTCTCGGGAATAGCAGGACCCTGGAACTCGGGGTACTGTTCCAAGACAATTTCAATTGCCTTGTTTTTGGCGGCATCATCGATGGGCCCTGCACCTGTCGCATTGTTTGTGTCAGAGGCCAGCCGCGAGATCATAACGCACGGGCTATATAAGGCCAGCCAGCAGGTTTTCATTAAACTTTATTTTGCATAAGCAATTTGGAAGCCTTGTCGTCAGATGTAGGCGTGGATGGGCCGGCCGCGATAATGTCCTCGACCGAAGCTACTACTGGGCAGGCATCGCATTTGCCATCGCCAACCAGGGACATGATGTCTTGATTGCGGTCGGCATTAACGACGCCCCTCTCTTTGATGCTGACGTACTGCCAAAAGGTGAAACTGCGCTCGAACTTGATGACACCCTTGCTCGTCTTATACACGGTTGCCGTCTTATTTTCACCTGGGATGGATGCAATCTCCTGTTTGAAGTAGCCGATAGGATCCTGAGCCTCGACGGGGGACTCAGGCACGGCAGCCGGCTCCGTGACCTATTCATCCGCAATATCGCTGGGGCATGCTTCCGTCTCGCCCTTGTCGCAATCCGAATCGCCGCCGTAGGTTGTGCCGTTAAGAGTGTAGCGGCCAATCTTCAGGTCGCGAACGGGGTTGGTCCAATACTTTTCCATCGCGACCAGCCTAGCGTTCTCATCACGGGTTCTGTCGTTGAAGTTGTGCCAATTGATACGATTCCTAAAGAGCAACCAAGGTGTTCCAGTAACCGAGGCATTATTCTTGAACTCCTCATTCCACTTCTCAAAAATTCCATTCAAGTACTGGCCCGCCTGAGTGGTAAACCAGCCGTTGGCTACTTTGCATTCAAAACAGACACGCTGAACGGCCGGGTACGCGCTCCCCTCCCTAAACAGACAGTCTCTGTAGGCCTTGCGCTGCTCCTCGGTAGCGGTATCCCGTGAGCCCTTTGTACCAGACTTTACTCGCATCTTTCTGAGAGGCCAAACTCGGCGGGGCCGGGCGGCTGGAGCCTATCGGTATTGCAAGTGTCAAACGTCCAGGACGGATCGCATGCATCATTAAGGTTGTGGGTTGGCGCTACTCGGTTGATCCCTTCCTCGGTCGCGAATTCGAACCGGCGGTCGAGGCAACGAGGAGTGTGGGCAATATGGTGAGGGATTTGATAGTTTTAATAAAAGGCCGGCTGAATTATAATAAGAAATCAAAGAGTGAAAGCATTGTGGGAATAGTAGGCGTTGACGAGGACCAGATTCAAGACTGTTTAACTGACTTCGCTGGCCTTTAAGTACCTGGCCAAAACTTGTAACTATTTGATATAATGAATCAATACAGTATGACACAGGTCATGCTCTCTTGGCACTAATAATAACTTGATCCACCCAGTAATGTCTCACATGACAGAATATTGTACGGAGCAGGGTTGTACCTTGGATTTTGAAATAATACTAATATATAGTATAATGCGCTTTAACGAGTATCAATTTCTTGTCGCGCTTGCCGCGCACCTTGATAGGAAATAGGCCACTAGAATAGTTTCTGACCCCGTATGCAATCCAAGTCAGTTAATCAGAGTATTTCTCTAGTCTTATATAATCAAAAACCGCGCTTTAAGTCAGTTGGGCCATAGACTCGTCTGGACTATACCACGCTGGTGGACTGGCAAAATCCTGAAGGCGTCAAATAAACTATTCACAGGTTCGACTCTTTTAGACAAGTGTTGCTTGAGTATCATGTATTGTATGTCGCGGTCTATCCCGGATTTAGTGGCTTTCTTCTACTCTAGTGGAAATTCTTAATCAACATCTTGAATGCCAACTTGCTTCATTATCAACCGTCCCGTACGCGCTTCTACTTTTCCAACACTTGCGAGCTCCAAAGCCCCCATCGAGGCCAAATGCTTCTGTTAGAGGTGCGAAAGTGCCCCGACCAGAAAACAGTCTGGGCGGTCCAAGATGGACGACACTGTCGGAGCTTCGGTTAATCAGAGAATCGTCAGTGTCTCGGCAATGGGCAATTTCTTGGGCTTCTCGGGATGAGCAGCTTGCTCATCTCCGTAGTTGAGATGGGCCTTGAGCTTATAATCCTCTGGGACACCAGCGAATTTCTTGATGGCTGCCTCGACAGGCGGAATAGCATTCATGTGCTGCAGGTTAGCTCCTACTCCCTCCAGCTCCAAGGCAGTCCAGATAAGGATCTGGTGAATGCCTTGGGCGTGATCACCCCACTCGCTGAACATGTGGCTGGTTGCCTTGTGTGTCTCGGCAGCCTCCTTGGTCGTCTGGCCACGCTCCCAGAAGAGTATCTAGACCTCGTTAGACAGTCTGCTTGCGAGTCACAAAAGTTGCGGACGTACGGATCCATATGCAGCCTTGTGGGTTTGGAGAAAGGGGCCCAGCTTTTCCCAGAGGGCGGGATTGATCGACTTGAGGACCGGCTCAACCTCCTCGAGGATAATGCTCCAGAGCTCTTTGTGCTTCTCCCCGAAAGCGAGCGAAATGCGGACAGGCTGCGTGTTGTAAGACGAGGGGGCAAAGGAAAGGACTTTGGAGACCAGCTCTTGGACACGTTCGTCCGAGACCTTGGAGGTTCCTGCCAAACCATGGACACTGCGACGGTGAGCCGCAGCTGCGAGCCACTCGTCAGCCGTGATGGAAGGCATCTTGACAGAATGTGTAGGTGATGGATGTTTTCATCAGACTTGGGATGCGCCTCACGAGAAATACATAGACATATATATACGTACCTAGGTATATATGTACACTACGTCGCACGCCCGTCAGAGGCCGGAACGGTATCCAATGCTACACGGCGGTGTGCTTTGGCCACATGCTGGCGATGAGGCGGCTTACGTGCTTCCTGTGGCCTTGATGACTGCACAGTCATTGGCTGTTATTGGCCCCTGGCTTGAGTGATTTTCATTTACGGGGGATACAAAGTCCGCCTCAGAAACATTTCCCCGGAGAACAGACCAAAAGGCGACCATATAACGCCCAGGAGAAAAGTAATCAAGGCTGCGTCGTCGTTTATTTGGACAAACGAGCCAATAAAAATAAGGATCGTCTGCTTCGACGTGTTTCCATTATTTCGAATGCTGACAAACTCTCTCAAATAAACTGCCAAGGTCGAAAGCACCATGTTCATCAATGTCCGAAGGCCAGCATCAGCTATAGAAGGCAGCGTGGCTGTCCAGTCTCGACCGCATAGATGCGCAGAGAGGGCTGTCTGTCAGAGAGGGGAGACGAGTGAGGGCAGTGTTTATGAAATGTGCATGCTGGAAGCATAAGCCTCAAGTGCTTGTTCTTCTTGCTTTTAGTTTATTTTTTTTAATGTCCTAGTCTGCTGTCTACTGTCAATGGGTCTGGTCCGTTGCGTCTTTCTGGCTGTTCTGATGCAGGCCGTGGCCAGCAGTTGCCTGTGGATGCCGGGCCGACCGTGCGGCACAAGTCCGGTCGATACATTATTGACTTTGCATGTGGTGTCTAAGGCTGTCTCGACTTTGAGGCGTATCTGACGTCTCTGCATTGGCGAAATTTTATTCGGTAGTCCTGTGATGTCTATTCATGTATGAAAGTGAATGGATTCTAATTTACCATGGCGATGGTACGGCGTCTTATAGTGATGCCGAAGACCGCTCAACATCAGCTCAATTTTCAATTCATATCAACCAAATCAATGTGTTAGAAAAAATGTTTTGGTGTTGGTAATGTAGGCGATTCCTTGAAACGGGTTTCAGTATCGTTCCTGCTTCAAAATTTCCAGGCGTGGACAAGTGAAACTCATGTCAAGGACTTGATGACTTGGAAGCTTCTCGTACCGAGACAGGCATAGGGTAGGTTGGTCCAAAGTCAACACGCAACATTGAAACCACGCAAATAAAGCCGGTACACCATGTTCACCGCGTAAAATCTCATATATGCGCAGTAGTACGTGCTGATATTCTGCCCTCTCACAACCTCGCCGACTGAAGCTTAGTGGTACTTTGCAAAGTGTTTTCATTTCCTATCACTCTGTTCTATAATAAATGTCAAGATACCCAAACCAAAACAACAAGGTTAAAAGACTCATGTAAGCTACTAATTAAGAAAACCCATCGCCTTCCAAGACGACACATAGGACCGCACCACCTCGGCACTCACCGGCCCCTCGGCAGCCAGGGTTTTGGAATGCTCACTTGATCTTTGCGTGTCCAACACGATACCGCCACAAGCCATGCGCTCAAAGTGGCCCTCGAGAAAGTCCAGGGCGAGGGCGGCAGGGTTCTCAGCCGGGGAAAGAGGCGATTGGCGAACCCGTCTAATCCACTCTTTAAAGGAAACGATGCCATGGGGAGGAATATCCAGAGCAGCTGCCAGAACCGTAGACATGTCCTTCCACGGCTGGCCGACGGGGTTGTCGACGTGATAGACCGGATACGCCTCCGTTGCTTCGGGGCGGCCGTCAATGTTGAGCAGGTCGACCACGACGCCGGCGGATTTATCCACGGGCAGCCAATGCAGGTCACCGCGCAGGTCGGGCAACGCCTTGAGCGCCTGGGAGCTCTTCACCACGAAGGCAAAGTGCTCGACCGGGTTCCAGAAGCCGCTGGCCGTCGACCCAGAGATCTGGCCGGGACGCGCCACCATGGCCCGGAAGAGCCGCGGATGACGGCGCAGCGTGTCGGCGAGCATGCGCTCGCACACCCACTTGCCCTCGTTGTAGCCGCTGGGCATCACCGCGGCCATGGGCATGGCCTCCTCGAGGACGGGGGACTCGGCCGAGAAGCCCGTCACGCCGATCGACGAGATGAACTGGAAACCGATCCTGCGCGGCTCGGTTCCCACCGCCATGTCGTGCGCCAGGTCCAGCAGGTTCCGCATCACCCTGGCCTGGGGCTCAAAAGCCTTGAGTGGCCGCGTGGCGCTCATGGGCCAGGCGTTGTGGATGATGTGCGTGCCGTGCCGCGCCAGCCAGGTGTACTCGTCGTCCGGTAGACCAAGTTGCGGCTTGGAGGCGTCGGTACCGTATACCCGCAGCTTCTCGCGCGCGGTGGGGGACAGCTCGATGCCTCTCGAAGAGAGTGCCTCTGCCTGCCGCTCGTCGGCGGGCACGCCGCTGAGGGTGCGGTTGATGCAAACCACAGCGGCGACGTGCGGCCGCTCGGCGAGTGCTTGAACAATGTGCGACCCGAGGCTGCCCGAAGCGCCCGTCACGACCACGACGGCTCCGGCACGGGGATGGTTGCCGATAGTACCCTTCCTCGCAGCTTCAAGCGCGGCCGACTCCCAACCAGTCGTGTAGGCTGCCACTAGGCGCATTGCCTCTGCCTCACGGGCTGCTACATCACCCGTACCAATTACTTTCGCCGCTGGGACAGGTGGTTCGCTCACCGAATCCTGACTTTGGCAGCTGACGTCCGAGGCGTCATCGGGAGTGGACATGTCCGAGGTCGTGTCTTCGTCCGCCGAGTCTGAGAAGACAACGTCACCCTCTCCGGCCGCCATGTCTTGGTCGCTATCTTGGTCGCCATGCTCTTCCTCCACGTCCTTTTGCCCTCCGGCCCTCGCCAAAGCATTCGCCACACAGGCAACGAAGGCGCCAAGACTCGTGGCTACCATTGTCTCTGCGCGATCGAGCGTGCAGTGAAAGGTATCCTCGACCTCGCGCGCCAGCTCCATGCTCATCAACGAATCAATGCCCAGGTCAGCCATCTCACTGTCGAGGCTCATCTCGCTGGCCTCGATGCCGGAAACGTCGGCGACCACGTCGCACACCTCGTTTGTGATGTCGCGCGGCCCACTGGTAGGCTTCGCCCTTTTCATCCCGGTCCTCTTTGCCTTGGGGCGGGACGGGAGCGGCGCCGGCGTCGAGTTTGGACCGGTGGCATTGATAGGCCCGGCAAGGGCGGCAAGAGGCTGGGCAGACGACGGCAGAGACGCTGCGGTGCTTCTCACAAACGACTTGTCCGTCGTCGCCCGCGCCAGGATCTTGCTCATCGTCGCCTTGGGAACGCGGACATATTTCAGGCCCAGTATGACCTCGGCCAGGGCACCCGTCGAGGCATCAAAGATAAAGACGTCTGAGACGTAGGCCTTTTCGTTTTGGCGCGCGTGGCGAGCAAGAACATGCCACACACCAGGACCATGCTCATGGCCATCAGTGACCGGCTGCGCCTCGGGCGAGCGCATCACCAGCTCGAGGCCCGTGGCAACAAACATGTCGCTCGCGGGAATGTCCGTCAGCAGGTTGACGTACATGCCCGCAACTTGGCCGTACGAGTCTGCCTTGGGGACATCAAGCCAGGTGTCGCCGGCGTGGCGCTTGTGCACGACACCCGCGCTCTCGCCGTTGTCGCGGCCGACAACGTACCGCACGCCGTGGTACACGGAGCCAAAGTCGACAACTTCCTCAAAGGCTCGGTACACGTTGCGGCCTTGGAGCGCCTCCACGCCCTCATCGTCGGGGCCCAAGGCCAGAACGGCCTGGCACTGCGCGTGGCCGACGACGCGCTCCCAGCGTCCGAATTCCTGCACAACGGCCGGGTCGGATGGCGAGCACATGTTGATGCGGCCCTCGGCGTGCTTGTTGTCGGCAGGGGAGGTGCCGACGCTGTGGATGGTCCAGTGCCACTCTGTTTTGGCCTTGTTGAGTGGCTCGAGGTCAATGTAGTAGTCGCGCGTCGAGTCGGCACAGATGGGCGAATGGCTGAGCATATCGCGCACCACCGGCGAAAAGCCATTCGCTCTCCATTCCGGAGTCAGGCTGAAAAGGGTCTCGATGGCCATGTCTATCTCAAGCGTGGCTGCAGCAATGGGCGCCGTCTTGGCGATGACGTGTGTCGCAAACAGGCGCTGGTACTTGTCCGAGGCCGTGTTGATACGGAACCGAGCCAGCTTTGTCTTCTTGTTGGCGCTGCCACCCTGGTGGTCCTGGAAGCCGACAAAGGTCCATATATCAAGCGTCTTGGGATCGACTTGTTCTTGCTGTGCCAGTCCCGCCGCCGGCAGCCGTCCATTGCTCCCGGACATGGTTTGGACGACCTTGATAGCCTGCTCGATTGGCGACTTGAGCTCGAGCCAATGGCGCGACTTCTCGAACTGGTACGGCGGCAGGAGGAGCTGCGTATACTCGCCCGCCTGTCGCCGGTGGTGAGCCCAGAAAGACACACGTAGTCCCTGTTTCCAGAGGTGTACCGTTGCGTCCGTGAGCCTGTCGATGCCCTTGTTGGTGTTGGTGATGGACACGGATTGGAAGTGAAGCCCGTCAGAATAGGTTGGCACCGTCTGGGCAAGTGCACGCGATGCCATGACGGTGATGGTCGAGTTGGAACCCGCCTCAAGGAAGATGGCCTGCGGATGCTTCTGTGCGAGCCGTTGCACGGCGTGGTTGAAGAAGACGGGCTGGCGCATGTGAGAGCCGACAAAGGTCCAGTCCAGTCGGGCGGCCGCGTCGCCATGCTCGGTGGCACGTTCTATCGGAATGACGGCGTCATGAAAGGTCACCCCCTTGCCGACCTCGTCCCCGAGGCGGTCGACGATGCTGTCTACCAACGCCGAGTGGAACGCATTGGTGACGTTGAGACGCTTGCTCTTGACGCCCTCGACCGCGCTGCCCCCTCCGGCCAGCGTAGTGGCAAATGCGTCGATGGCTTTTGTCGATCCGGCGACAGTGAAGCTGCGAGAACCGTTGTAGCAGGCGATGCCAGCTGATCCATCGGATCCGAGGTTTGACTCGTTGAGGAGATGATGCACGAGTGCTTCGTCGGCCTCGATGGCCATCATGGCGCCCGGATCGGGTCCCCAAGCGCTCTGCACCAGCTTGGCCCGACCAGCAATCAGCTTGACCGTGTCTTGCAGACTCAGCACGCCCGCTACGCAGAGCGCAGTTATCTCACCAAAGCTGTGGCCCACGACGGATACTACCTTGTCGGCGAGCCCGCAGTCCATCCAGCTCTTGGCCGAGGCGTACTGCATAGCAAAGAGCGCCGTCTGGAGCTTGACCACGTCCTGATAAGGCTCGCCAGAGAAAATGTCGGGGTAGATGCTGTCAAGGCCGTGAGCTGTAATGGCGGCATCGCAGTTATCCAGGTGGTGCCGCAACACTGCGGCACCCTGGTACACCGCGCGGTCCAGCCCGACGAATGTCGAAACCTGGCCTCCAAAGCACAGAACCACGGGTCGCTCAGGCTTCACGGGCGCGATGCCGATGCTAGCAGATGTGTCCTTGGTAGCCGCGGTTGCCTCGGCGAGCTTGTCCTGCAGCTCGTCCAGCGAACCGCAGCTGAAGATCAGCCCTTGGGGCAAGCCGGGATCCGATTGCCAATTCATGTTGAACGATACATCGGCGAGCTTGGCCTGGCCATCTCGGGGCCCAGTGTGGGCGCGCAGGTAGGGAGCCAGCGCGGTGCTGTACGCGGCAATGCTGCGGGCGTCGAGGCCGGCGATCCAGAAGGGCAGCCGAGGCGACGACGCGGTCAGGGAGGTGGCTTTGGCAGGCTTATGAGCCGAGTAAGCAACCACGACGCTCGAATTGGATCCGCAGGCGCCGTAGTTGTTGATCAGAGCCAGCTTCCGGTCCCCTGGCCAGGACCGCAACGACGTGACAACCTCCATCTTGTCTGACGGCTGCGCCTGGATGTGGGGGTTCATGCTCTTGAAGCTGGCTTGGGGAGGGATGAAGTCGCCTCGCATCATCATGAGCACCTTGATGAGGGAGACGATGCCGGACGCGCCTTCAGTGTGGCCGACGTGACCCTTGACCGAGCCGATGGGCAGGACAGTATCGCGCAGAGGACCGGCCACGGCGTTGCGTATGCTCTCCCACTCTGCAGGGTCTCCGACGGGCGTGCCAGTGCCATGACACTCGACCAGCGAAATGTCGCGCGGGTTTACGCGCGCTTTGCGGATGACGTGGTGGAAGAGGGCCGACAGAGAAGGTACGTTGGGAACAAAGAGCGGCGTGGTGTTGAGGTTTTGATTGATGCCCGTAGAGCGTATGGTGCCCAGGACCGTGTTCCCGTCGGCCACGGCGGTGGATAGCTTCTTGAGGAAGACGTAGGCGATGCCGTCGCCGCGGCAGTACCCATCGGCATCCGAGTCGAAGGGTTTGCACTGGCCGGTCGGGCTGATGAAGCTGCCGGCGGCGAGGTTTTGTGTCCACTGCAGGTTGGTCAAGACATTGACGCCGCCGCAGAGCGCCGCCGGGACCTCGCCCGACAGCAGATCCCGGCAGGCCATATGAAGGGCCGTCGTCGACGACGAGCATGCTGTATCAAAGGTCAGGGACGGGCCCGTCCATCCAAAGTGGTGCGACACTCGGCCGGGGATGAAGCTTCTCAGCTCCCCCGTCCCCGTGAAGGCGCTGGTCGGGTGGCAATGGACGTTGACATCGTACTCGTAGGAGCAGAGGCCGACGTAGACGCCCACGTGCTTCCGTCGTTGCAGCCCGGCGGCGCTGGTCGCGGCCAGCTCGTTGAAATAGCCCGACTGTTGGAGAGCTTGGTAGGCGGCCTCGAGCGAGAGGCGGCCCTGCGGGTCCATGGCCATGGATTCGCGCGGGCTCTTTTTGAAGAACTTGTGGTCGAAGGCGTCGGCGTCGCGCATGAGATTGCCGTACCACTTCCTGTCGGGGTCGGCATTGTCGCGGAACAGCATGTCGGGCGTCATTCGCTCGCGCGTGATGGCCTCGTGCTGCGACTGCCCCGTCTTGAGCATCTGCTCAAACTCGTGCAGGTCTTGGCCGCCCGCCACCTTGAGGGACATGCCCACGACGGCAACGACATGCTCGCAGTCGTCTTCTGGCTGGACACGGGGTGTGCTCGGTTCTGCGACCTGAGCCCGTGAGACGGCAAGCGCGCCGTTGCTTTGTGTTTGTGGTTGTGGTTGTGGTTGGGGTTGGTGCTGCATCCGCGCCATGGACTTGCTTATGTCATCCTCGACATCCTCAAAGTGGGCCTGCTTGGCACCAAAGGCGCGCAGGATGGTGGGCGGCAGAGGGCGGTCGAGGCCAAAGGCAATGAGGGACAGGTGCTCCTTGTTGGCCGCAAGCTTCGAAACGGTGCTGGTCCAGCGCAACTGGTTCGCCAGGATGGAGCGCAGCACCGTGCCGACCAGGTCGACGTGGTCGTGCGCGACTTGCTCGCCGTCGGGGTGGTCGAGGTAGGTGGGCAATGCCAGGTGGGCGGCATCCGGGAACTGCAGCCCGGCCATGGAGTGGCACAGGTCGACTAGGGCCTCGGTGTGGCGCAGCCGCTCGGCCGTCGGCGCGTGGAGCTGGCCCTTGAAGGCGAGCGGCACGGCCGTGACGCCGGCTGCCCGCAGCTGCCGCACCAGCTTGGGGGCGAGGCGCTCCGACGCCGTCACGGTGGCCCGGCACTCGTCAAAAAGCACCGAGACGTAGGCATCCGGGCCCAGCCTGGAGACGATGCGCGCCAGGTCATGGCCCTGCTCGGGTCTCCTCCACGCCGTCGCCAGGGACACGGACCCGCCCTTGCCGCGCCCCTTGGTCCACTCCTCGGTGGCCCCCACCACCGCCGCCATGAGCGCCGCCACGCGCACCGCCGCCGCGCCGTACTTTTCAAATTCCTGCCGGTTGTGCGAGCTGGCCACGGCCACGGCCGCCATCATGCCCGCGCAGAAGCCCACCGTCTCGACCCTGTTATTCCTGGCGGGCTGCTGCTGCTGCTGCTGCTGCCTCACCAGCTCTGCCTGCAGGTCGTCCACTCCGTTTCCCGCCGCGCCGCTGAATCGAAACTCCAGATAGCGCCAGTACTGGTCCAGCTGGATAGCCACCATGAGAACCCCGATCCAGACATGTGGCATCTCGGCGTCTGGGGCCAGCGACGCAGCCGAGGCAGGGCCATCTCGAAACCACGACTCCAGATCGGCCAGCAGACCATGACCCTGCATTGTGCTGGCCACTTCGGGCATCTTGTTTGTCAAGGCTTCCCAGTACCGTGGCAGCCCGGCCAGGGTCTCTAGTATCCATTCTCCGTTGGGCCCGTCCACAATCTGCCGCACCTGTTTTTCCAGCGAGTTTTTGCTTTGTGGCCCAATGTGTCCTCCGAAAACAAGGCTTGTCGCTTCACGGACGTTGGATAAAGATGTAGGTAGAGCGGGGGCCATCATCGTTGCTTGACGCCGCGTGGCGTGTGAAAGGCGACTACTTGTTGTGCAGGCAACACCGGGAAGAGTAGGGAAAGAATAGTAAACGCTTGATCGAGTGTTCAGTCGCGAAGGGTATATTCATCTGGTAGTAGCACGGAAATGATGTGCAGAGCATCCAAGACAATGTCTCTCTTCTCTTGTTTTAAATAAGGGCCTACGGTTTGCTTGACCCTCTTGCCCATCCTCGCACGCGTGTAGAACAACTACCCATTGGGCCCCCGTTGTCTTACCGCAGTAACTTTTGTGCACAAGGAGCAGTTCACGTTGGGGGCTTACCGCGGAGGGCCTGCTTTCGGACTGGCGGAACAAAATAACAGCGACTTGTCAGCACCACGGATAAACGAATTTTACAAGGCAGAAGCACGCAATCTACCCAAGATGAAAGGCTCTTGCACCGTCTGATATTCAAACACAATGGCTCCGGTATCCCAACAATGGCAAGCATGTGTATAGAGGAGATGCTGCAGGATAGACGACATATCAGGTGTCATCCACCAGCGTATGGGTGTTTGGCATAGAATGCAATGCAACTCCAGGTACATGCCGCAGTAGCTGTTTCGAGGCTGTCTGACGCAGCTGCCGCCGGACTGAGCCAATGGCCACAGCAACGGCAAGATATTGGTGGTGAGCAAGCCAAGGGGAATTGAAAGTCCGGGGTCGGGACTCAGCCGCAGGGGTTGTAAGCGCGCTTCCGCTTCACGAATTTTCCATGGCGCCACCAAAACTGTCGGGGTTGGCCATATGGAGTATAAAAATGTGTATACCTGTGTTATACGTACTGATTATTTTGATGTTACAATTTTTCTGGTAGCATGTTTACTGTGTCGCTTGTCTGACCCCATTTCCGACTTGTGTCCACTTGCTCGTGCCACCTGACCTCAAATCAACCTTGACCAAGGCACCGACCGGACTTGGTCACCATCTCGCTCGCCATGACGACCGGCAGCATCAACGGCAACGATGGCGTTGCACCCTCTCTTGATGTGGCCGTCGTGGGCGGTGGAATCATCGGTGTCATGACGGCCATCGGCCTGCGTCGCCGGGGCATAAACGCAGTCATCTACGAGAGGGCGCCGACCTGGCACGAGGTCAGCGCCGGGTTTTCCTTCACGGGCGCGGCGCGGGTGTGGATGGAGCAGATAGACCCGGCCCTCCTCGAGCTGCTGGGCAGCATCAGCCAGAAGACGGACGCCAGCAGCAGCAACGCCTACTGGAATGGCTACCACCCGCGCACCCGAGAGGAGGCCGAGGATGCGTCCAAGTCGCTGCTTTTCCGGACGCGGATCGACAACCTCGATTTCTGGGGCTGCGTGCGCTCGCAGTTCCTGAACGGCATGGCGGCCCTCCTGCCCGAGGGGGCGGTGAGGTTTGGGAAGCGGCTCGTGAGCTACGACGATGACGAGCAGAACGGCAAGGTCCTTGCGCACTTTGACGACGGTAGTACGGCCGAGGCCCATGTCCTGCTTGGGTGTGACGGCGTCCATTCGACGACGCGGAGAGTGCTGCTGGGCGCCGACCATCCGGCCTGCCGGGCGGGCTTCAGTCACACCGTTGCCTACCGCACCATGGTTCCCATGGACGTGGGCATCGCCGCCCTGGGCAACAAGGTGGCCAGGAACGCCTGCAATCACCTGGGGCCAGGCGCAGACCTGCTGGTGTATCCGGTTCGTAGACAACATTGAACATTGAAGGTATCCCGCTCCCGCCGGCGCAGGCATTGCTAACATAATGTTGAACCCAACCAAGGTCATGTCCGGGACGCTTCTGAACATGGCCGTCTTCGCCCACGACGCCTCCGAGTTTCCCGACCCCGACAAGATGGCGGTGCCGGCCGCGCGAAGCGAGATCGAGCAGCTGTTCAGGGGCTGGAGCCCGCCGCTCGCCGACATTTGGAAGCTGTTTCCGGAGAAGACGGTCAAATGGGGCATCTTTGACCTGGAGCAAAACCCGCCGCCGACGTACGCGCGCGGCCGGGCCTGTCTTGTCGGCGACGCGGCGCACGCCAGCACGCCGTACCTGGGCGTCGGCGCCTGCACCGGCGTCGAGGACGCCCTGGTCATCTGCACGCTCCTGCAGGCCGTGCAGCAGAGGGCCCTCGGCGGCGAGGCGCTGCGAGAGGCGCTGACGGACGCGCTGCAGACGTACAACCGCGCCAGGCTGGACCGCGGCCGCTGGATACATCACCACTCGCGCGACATGGGCCAGCTGTATCATTGGAGGTACGGCCCGACGGGGCGCGACCCGGAGCGGATGAAGCGGAAGCTCGAGGAGAACTGGGCCGCCGTCGTCACCTACGATGTTTTGGCGTCGTTGCAGCCTGACGCCGTGCGAACCGGCATGGCCTAGTGAAGCATACCGGATCGTGTTGCCCAGTGACAGGTAGAACAGTTGCTTGCTGTAATATAAATGGCCATGTATACTGAGATGCTCTGTACCGCATTGCGAATGTATAATCTCCATGCGTACGAGGCCTCCGCTTTTGGTGCAACCAGACACGTATAAGACCCTAGGGCCTCGCTGGGTCATAAGTTATAACACATCAACTTCATCTTCGTCATCAGAAGTGGGAGTTGCATTCGCCAAACCCTGAACAGACTGCTCGCTGATGGTTTAACCAAGTGCAACGAGTTTTCAACCACCATGGATGGGTACACGCTGGGCAGCATAGCAACACGTCTATAAGCCAAGACGGCCATGATACATGCACGGGACAAGGCACTTTATCGGACACGGCGCTCCATATGTGGACCATGTATATCAGACTATGTACATGTATTTACGCACTTTCGAAGCCATGCACAATCCACTCCTTGCCGTCCTTCACTCGGCTGGTTTCATGATGGAACGGTCGCCAGTGCACCAAACCGGGCTAGACTTCATCCTCTTCAACTTCCAAAGGTCGTCCACCTTGACGGCGTCGCAGTGGTAGAGTAAGCCGCTGGTAAACTTTTGCGAGTCCGGCTCGTAGCCCTTGCCGAGGACGCAGTGCACGGCCATGGCGTTGAAGGTAACGCGCGCCGTGGTTTCCGTGTCAATGCTCACGCGCATGTTGCTGAGGTAGTGGATCGTGTCGAGCCGGTCGCTGACGTTGGTCCACACCTTGGACTTGAGCTCGTCGTAGCCGTCGCAGACCTTGAAGGCGATGTCGGTGTAGATGTCGGGCGTGACGCTCGACTTGAGGAGCTCCTCGCTGGACTGGTCGATGGACAGGAACGCGCGGTAGCAGGCGTCGGCGATGGCCTCGCGGTCGCTCAGAGGCGGGCCGGCGAGCTTGATGGGAAGAGGCGTGCCGTTTCGCACCATGGTTTCCGTGGTTTCCGTGTCAATGAATCGTGTCTGGTTGGAGGAGCTGTCGACGGTGCTTGCTACAGCTGGACACATGCGCCTACTATATTTATTACAGCCCTTTAGGTCAGACGTGGCATATAAAGCACCAGAAAGACACAGTATCTCCGTGGTGTCCGCGTCAGCGTATCGATATCCCGCAAGGCCAAGCCAAGGATGGCTTTATGTGACCCCATGACAGGGTTCTGCGTCCGTCTCTCGGACAATCAATGTCCCTCCGGTCAGCGTCAGCGTCAGCGTCAGCATCAACAGCGAATTCCAGCCTCGCGGAGCTTGAAAAATGCGAACCACGGGCACCCACCAATGCGCAGGCCTGGCAGTTGCGAAACCATGCCGCGCTTCAATGTTGAGGAAGAGCTACAAAGGCCCGTTCCGGCGAGGTTGTTTCAACCGTTGACTTGGCTTGACACATGGAGACCGCACCTCCACATCAAGGTCCCACTTTACGTTTGACGACTTGGACGGTAAAAGATGTCACTTAATAGGTAGAGAGTCAGATGAGGTAATGGTAGATAGTAGGTTGTAATAAATTTGAAGCTGCATGTGAGTACTTGTAATTTTGAAGCAGAACGCGGTATAAATAGCAGTTGGGGGAATGCTGGACGGGATAGACGGCCAGCTGTGTAACTTGTCGCTGCACATGTGGCAACTAGCTACCCTGCACGTGTCTGCACGGGCTTTACCCGATATATTATCATGAGACGGCGCAGTAGTTACCTGTCAAAATCACCTGCTCAATTATTTTATCGTGTCTGGTACAACAATGACTCCACGGCTCATGCCATGTCCGGACCTAAATTCGCCATGAGTCTTTCCCCAGAAGGTTCCTCGAGCGGACCAGACCTAACATCATCGGCCGGGGCAACGTTTCTCAGGCGGACTTAGTATTGCCCGACACAATATCTCGCATTGTAAACCGGTATGCTCACAGCTAGTAGTGATTGGGCATGCCCGAGTAAATTGAGTCATTGTTTCTTTATTAGCAACGGGCTGCTGACATTGTCGTCAAGGCTGAAACAGCCGTCGCCACGTGGCGCTATATACATTGACGTCTTGCGAACCTGACCACCATATATTGACTGGACGTGTTTTCATTTTTCACCGTGTATGGTCACGTCTTGTTGCATAATCTAGCCCCCCTACAAACACCCACCAAACTCCCCTGTCAAGAGTCCTGACCACCTTCTACTCATTCGATTCTCATTCCTTTCATTATTCCAGGACGCCACAGAACCTTGACAAGATACAAATCATTTCGAGAGAATGGACACCGACAACAGCGAGTGGGCGAGCGAGCCCATTGCCGTCATTGGCATGAGCTGCAAATTCTCGGGCGGTGCCAGCAACCCAGACAAGCTCTGGGACCTTATGGCTTCAGGCAAGACCGGCTGGAGCGAGATCCCAAAAGAACGGTATAATCTCGAGGGAGTCTACCACGCCAACCACGAAAGAAACAGCACGGTGTGTACTCATCCTTGGCACAACTGGCATACAAGGACGGCACTAACAACCGGCCCCAGACACACGTCAAGGGCGGACACTTTCTCGACGACGATGTAGCCGCCTTTGATGCCGCATTCTTCAACTACTCGGCCGAAATGGCCCAGGCGGTCGACCCGCAATTCCGGCTGCAGCTCGAGTCTACTTATGAGGCGCTCGAAAATGGTATGTCCCTCCCGGCTACGGCGACATGCAGCTAACTCGGATGGCAGCCGGCCTACCTCTCTCGCAGGTCATGGGATCACAGACGTCCGTCTTCGCGGGCGTCTTCACACATGACTACCAAGAGGGGATAATACGGGACGAAGATGGGCTGCCACGGTTCAACGTCGTGGGCACCTGGAGCCCCATGTCGTCCAACCGCATCTCGCACTTTTTTGACTTTCGCGGCGCCAGCATGACTCTGGAAACGGGATGTTCAACGACGCTGGTGGCCCTGCACCAAGCCGTCCACACCTTGCGCAACCGCGAGGCCGACATGTCCGTGGTGACAGGGGCCAACGTGATGCTGAATCCGGATACGTTCAAGGCCATCGGGTCGCTGGGGATGCTGTCGCCCGACGGCAGGTCATACGCCTTTGATTCGCGCGCCAACGGGTACGGTCGCGGAGAGGGCGTAGCCACCATCGTCATCAAGCGCCTGTCGGACGCGCTGGCCGCCAACGACCCCGTTCGCGCCGTGATCCGCGAGACGGCCCTGAACCAGGACGGCAAGACGGACACAATCACGACGCCATCCGGCGCCGCCCAGGTAGAGCTCATGCGGGAATGCTACCGCCGGGCCGGCCTCGACCCGCGCGGCACGCAGTACTTTGAGGCCCACGGCACCGGGACCCCGGCCGGTGACCCGATCGAGGCGGGAGCCGTGGCCGCCGTCTTTGCCGGAGGCCAAGGCCGCGACGACAGGGAACACTACCTGCGCATCGGCTCCCTCAAGACCAACGTCGGCCATACTGAAGCAGCTTCGGGTCTCGCCGCCGTCGTCAAGGGTGTCTTGTGCCTTGAAAAGGGGCTGATCCCGCCCACTGTAAACTATGAGCGGCCCAACCCGAAGCTGAAGCTGGACGAGTGGCGTCTCAAGGTGGTGAGAATGATGGAGCAGTGGCCTGACAGTCTGGTTGATGGTCCGCGCCGCATGTCCATCAACAACTTTGGCTACGGCGGAGCGAATGCCCACGTCATTTTGGAGAGCGCCGACCCGTGGACGTCAACATCAGGTCTGGATCTCGAGCCCGTCAGTGGCAGGCACAGCAAGAATGGAAACAAGGGGCATGTCCACGGCAACGGCTATACCAATGGCAGCCATGACACAAACGACGCCACCGACGACGCCAAAGTGCTCGTCCTCAGTGCGCGTGACGAGAGGGCATGTCAGCAAATGGTTTCAGAGCTCAAGGCCTATCTGGAAAAGCACAGGTCGCTTGGACACGAGGACTCTGAGCAGCTGCTGCGCAATCTCAGCTACACGCTGGGCGAGCGCCGGACGCTCTTCCCGTGGGTTGCGGCGCACCAGGTGCGTCTCGACAAAGACGGCGGCGTCGAGGCCGCCGTCCAAGCCCTTGACTCGCCTCGCTTCAAGCCCGGCCGCAGAGCGCCGGATCGTCCGCGCATCGGCATGATTTTCACCGGCCAGGGCGCGCAGTGGCATGCCATGGGCCGCGAGCTGCTGGCGTCGTACCCCGTCTTCCGCCAGTCCATCGAGGAAGCCGAGGCGTATCTGCGCGCCCTCGGGGCTGACTGGTCGCTCCTCGAGGAGCTGCAGCGCGACGCCAAGACGACAAGAGTCCACGCCACCAAGATTAGCATTCCCGTGTGCGTGGCGCTGCAGGTCGCACTGGTACGCCTGCTCGAGGCATGGGGCATCACGCCTTCGGCCGTCGCAAGCCACTCGTCGGGGGAGATTGCGGCCGCCTTCGCCGTGGGTGCCCTCACGCATCGTCAGGCCATGGCGGCGGCCTACTACCGCGCCGTACTCGTGGCAGACGAGACACAGCACGCGCCGGGCGCTGCCAAGGGTGCCATGGCGGCGGTAGGCTTGGGTGTTGAGGCGGTGCAGTCCTATCTCGACATGCTGACGACGGGGAACGGCAAGGCTGTTGTTGCATGTGTCAACAGCCCCCAGAGCGTTACCATCTCCGGTGATGCTGACGCCGTGCAAGAGATGGAGGACCTGTGCAAGCAGAACGACGTGTTCGCCCGTCGTCTCAGGGTCCAACAAGCATACCACTCACACCATATGGATCCCTTTGCTGAGGCGTACCGGGAGCGCCTTCGGGTCGAAATGGCGCGAGATGTGGTGCAGGGTGGCAAGCAACATGTGCAGGCAGCCAAGCAACAACTTGGCGTCGTCTTTTCGTCGGCCGTCACTGGCGGACGCATCACCGACGTCAAGGAAATCGCCAGCCCCAACCACTGGGTCGGTAGTCTGGTGCAGCCGGTCGAGTTTGTCGACGCCTTTACCGAGATGGTGCTGGGCGATCCCGACGACCCGACGGGCAGAAGCGTCGACGTATTGCTCGAGGTCGGCCCTCATACGGCGCTTGGGGGCCCTATCCGCGAGATCTTATCCCTGCCCGAGTTTGAGGGCATCGAGCTGCCGTACTGGGGCTGTCTGGTACGCGACGAGCACGCGGGCGACAGCATGCGATCGGCCGCCATCAATCTGTTTCGCCAGGGGCAGCCCCTGATCATGGACCAGATCAACTTCCCCCTGCCTGCGTACGACGGGGAGAGCCCCCTGGTCTTGACGAATTTACCGACGTATCCTTGGAACCACACGATGCGTCACTGGCTAGAGTCAAGAGTCAACCGGGCCATCCGCGAACGCAGTCAGCCACCTCACGAGCTCCTCGGCATGCCCGTCGCCGGCCATGATCCTAGCACGGCCGTCTGGCGCCGCACGTTGCGCGTCACCGAAACCCCCTGGGTCCGCGATCATATGGTGCAGGGCGCTATTGTGTACCCAGGCTCGGGCTACATTTGCCTCGCGATTGAGGCCGCTAGGCAGATGGAGAAGGTTGCCGGTGCCGCCGACCGAGACAAGTCCGGCGGGACCATCTCGGGATTCCGTCTGCGCGACGTTCACTTCCTTTTCGCCCTCGTTATCCCAGACAGCGCCGACGGCGTTGAGATCCGAACCACGCTTCAGCCTGTCCCCGAGCGGGAAATTGGAGCCCGCGGCTGGCGGCGCTTTGAGGTATCGTCCGTCACGCCGGATAATCGGTGGACGCTGCACGCCAAGGGCATGGTCATGGTCGAGCGGGAGGCGGCCGCCCCGGAGACGGCAGAGCGCCGTCCGTTGTCTATTTATACCCGTCATCCAGACCCTCAGGACTTGTTCGCTAATCTCAGGGCACGCAGCGTCTACCACGGCCCCCTGTTCCAGAACACGACCAAGATCATCCAGGATGGCCGGGAGCCGCGATCTGTATGCGACATTACGATTCGCCACGAAGCGTCGTCTGATACAGACCCGGTGGAGGCGGCACAGAACACGTTGTTGCACCCAATCACCCTTGATGCTATTGTAGTGGCCTTCTATTCCGCGCTGCCGAGCGTCGGAGCTCTGCAGGAAGACCCCAAGCTGCCACGGTCTGTCGCATCCATGTGGGTATCGAGCAACATCAGCCGCGAGACGGGCCGCACGTTGCGCTGCGACACGCGGCTGCTGCACGGCGACGCGCAAAGCGGCATCGCTGACATGACGGTTGTTGACGGCCAGACGGACGCGACGGTGCTCAAGATACACGGTGTTGAGTTGGCGTCTCTGGGACGTGGCAGCGGACGTACGGCGCGTCAGCACGCGGCCGTTCCCAGCAAGTGGGAGCAAGAGCTGTGCAGCAAGCTCGTGTGGGGCCCCGACCTGTCGCTTCGAAACCCGCTGGCTCTCGCACAAATCAAAAAGGAGCTGGTTCACGCCGAGTCCGCTACTGAAACAGACAAGGCCAGGAGCCTGCAGCGCTTATGTAGTTATTTTGCCCATGATGCGCTACAATCGCTCACTTCGGAGGATGTAGCACGACTTCAGGAGCACTCACACTTGGCCAAGTACCACGCGTGGCTGCGTGAATTGACCAAGGCAGCCAAGAATTGCGCGCTGGACGAGCCCGAGAAGCGCCAAGAATACATAGCCTCCGATGCCCCGCAAGGCATTGATGAGAAGTGGGTCTCCCGGCTCGGGCCGCTCCTTCCATCCATTCTCCGTGGAGAGCTCCACGTGGACCAAGTGAGTGGGCCGCTGCTGAATGAGTACCATGCCAACGCGATGCGTCGGTCAGTAGCACTGGGACAGCTCTCTACACTGCTATGTAAGATTGCACACAAAAACCCGAGTGCCCGCGTCCTCCAGATCGGTGCTGGTACCGGCGCCCTCGCGACACGCCGTATGCTGGAGACGCTTGGCGCGTCCAAAACGCCCCTGGTGGTGAGCTGGCACATTACCGAACCATCATGGGATTCGCTGGAGGATGCCCGCGCTCAACTTGCCGACTGGACCCATTTGCTCGAGTTTGACCAGCTCGACATCGAGCAGAGCCCAGCCAAGCAAAAGTTTACCCCAGGGAGCTACGATGTGGTTGTGGCCTTCCATGCTCTACGCGCCACCAAGGACGCGACCAGTGCCGTAGCCAATGTGCGCAGCCTGCTGAAGCCAGGCGGCACGTTTCTGTTTGCCGAGGTGACCAAGGACCAAGTAGATGTAGATTTCACCTTTGGCTTGCTGCCGAGCTGGTGGCAAGGCGAGGAAGGGTGCGACCACCCGACCCTCAGCGCGTCCTCTTGGGATCGTCTGCTTCGGGACGCCGGGTTTAGTGGTGTCGATCTTGAGATTCGTGACTCGGAGAGCGACATCATCCACACCAACAGCGTCATCATGTCCACGGTGCCGCTCGCCAAAGACCAGAGCCCCGACCTGGGCAGGGCTCATCACCGAGAGAGCTTCGTCGTGGTCACAAGTAGCAAGGCACCTCCGCCGCCGGGCTTCGTCGATCTGCTATCCAGGCGTATCCAGGCCTTGACCGGTGCTGGCAGTCTCGCCCCTGAGCACCTGGTGCTCGAGCAGAGCAGCTCGGACACATACAAGGCCAAGACTTGTGTTTTTTTGGGCGAGATTGATGAGCCCATTCTGGCGGACCTCGATGCAGTGCGCATGGAGGGCCTCCGCGCCATGGTCACGCAATGCAGCGGCCTGCTATGGGTCACGACCGGCGGTACCGTGGCGAGCGAGGCGCCGGAGCGGGCTGTTCACCAGGGTTTCCTGCGTGTGCTGCGCAACGAGTACATCGGCCGTCGCCTTCTCTCCCTGGACCTCGATCCTGCACATGCCGCCGACAGATGGTCCTCGGGCGGCGAGGTCGCCGTCTCGGCCATTGTGCAGGTACTCGAAGAGGGATTCGGCCGTCCCAACACGGAGGCTGGTCCGGCCGAGTTTGAGTACGCCGAGCGTGACGGCGTCCTGCAGGTCCCCCGGTACTACAAAGACGAGAAATGCAATGACATGGTTGCCGGCCCGCTTGTGCCGAGCTGGGGTGAGGTGCTCCCAGTGGTCAAGGATGACAAGGGAAGCATCGATGCTGTTGCCAGCATTCCCCTAGAGCCCCTATTCCAGGAGGACGGGACACTGCGACTGGAAGTGGGCATCCCGGGACACTTGGACACATTGGCCTTCCTTCACTACGAGGCAGACGACGAGGCGCTGACACCCGAGCTCGTTGAGATTACCCCCCGGGCCTACGGGGTTTGCTCGCGCGACGCCATGGCCGCCATGGGCCAACTCAAGAATCGCTCCATGGGCTTTGAATGTGCAGGCATCATTACGCGCGTTGGTGCCGAGGCACAGGAAAAGGGCTATAATGTCGGTGATCGTGTCATGGCGCTCTTGGCCGGCGCATCCTTTGCCAGCCATGCCCGCGTCCCGTGGCACGGCGTCATCCAGATACCGTACGGCATGGACTTTGTCAAGGCCGCGTCACTTCCCCTGGCTTTTACTCTTGCGTACGCCGGCCTCGTCGACACCGCGCGTCTGTCTGCCGGGCAGTCGGTGCTCATACACGCCGCGACCGGGGCCATTGGGCAGGCCGCCATCATGTTGGCCAAGTGCCTCGGCGTGACGGACATTTACGCCACGGCCGGGTCGCAGGAGAAGCGAGACCTTGTCCAGCGCGAGTACGGCATCCCTGCCGAGCGCATCTTCACTAGCCGCGACGCATCCTTCGCCACGGCTGTTCTGGCCGCCACCAAGGGACGCGGCGTCGACGTCGTGCTCAACTCGCTGCCAGGTCCGCTACTGCAGGCAAGCCTCGACGCAATCGCGCCCCTGGGCTACCTGATCGAAATAGGCAAGAAAGACATTGAGAGCAACAGCCTGGTGGCACTGGAGTCCTTCTCCCGCGGCATCTCGCTTGTATCATTGGACGCCCCGACGCTCTTGCGCCGCGGACCCGATGTCCGCCGCGCGCTGGGTGAGATGGTCCGCTTGATTGAACTGCAGGTCTTGAAGCCGGTTCACCCCGTCGCCGTCTACCCCATGCAAGATGCCCAGGCGGCTTTCCGCTTCGTGCAGACGGGGGCACAGATGGGCAAGGTCGTGCTCTCGGCTGGCCCAGACGAACTGGTCCACGTTGTCCCTCGGCCGAAGGGGGTCACGGCTCGAGTCCGGCTACAAGCCGATGCGTCATACCTCGTCGTGGGTGGTGTAGGCGGCATCGGACGTTCAGTCGCACACTGGCTGGTAGCCCACGGCGCGAGGAACCTGATCCTGCTTTCCCGTGCCGCCGGCGATCTCGACCTCGACGTCAACAACAACACCCACGGCGCACTCTTCGTCCGCGAACTGCGCGAGGCGGGCTGTCGAGTCAAGCCCGTCAGCTGCGACATTGCCCTCGCCAGCTCGCTGACCACGGCTCTCAGGGCCTGCGAGGACGACGGCTTCCCGCCGGTGCGCGGCGTCGTCCAGGGCGCCATGTTGCTGCGCGACGCCGTCTTGGAGCAGATGACGCTCGACGACTGGCGCGGCGGCCTGCGGCCCAAGCTGCACGGCACCTGGAACCTGCACACCGAGTTCTCGCAGCCGGCCTCGCTCGACTTCTTCGTCATGCTGTCGTCCGTCTCGGGCGTGGTGGGAATCGCATCGCAGGCCAACTACGCCGCCGGCGGCTCCTACGAGGACGCCATGGCTCGCTGGCGCCAGTCCCGGGGCCTGCCCGGCGTGGCCATCGACCTCGGGCCCATCTCCGACATTGGCTACGTCTCGACCACGGCCAAGGTCGCCGAGCGCCTGCGCAAGGACGGCGACTTCGCCATGCTCGACGAGGACACGGTGCTGCGCGCCCTCCACGCCGCCGTCCTGCACCCGCTCGGCGGCCGCTCCCAGATCATCGTCGGCCTCAACACGGCCCCGGGCCCGCAGTGGGATGCCAACGGCCGATCGCAGCTGGGCCGCGACGCCCGCTTTGCCGCTCTGCGACCGCTCGCCAGGGCCTCGGCGCCGCCGGCCGATGGCGAGAGCGCCGGCACCTCGCTCGCCGCGCAGCTCGCCGAGGCGACGGACCAGCAGGAAGGGGCGCGGCTCGTCGGCGCGGCCATTGCGGCCAAGCTGGCCGACATCTTCATGACGCCCGTTGCCGAGATTGATCTCGCCAAGCCCCCGGCGCACTTTGGCGTCGATTCGCTGATTGCTGTCGAGCTGAGGAACATGCTTGTCTTGCAGGCCGCGGCGGATATTTCCATCTTTAATATACTGCAGACGGCGAGCCTTGCTGCCCTGGCGGCCTTGGTGGCGGAGAAGAGCCGCCATTTGCAGAGCGCTTAAAGGGGAGTGAGTGCCGGGATATGGGTTACGGGGCTACATGTACACTTGATCTCTTGCTGGATTGAGATGTGATTTTTTCTTGCAGCAGTTTAACACTGGGATAAATGGTTTCGTTGGCGCATGTGGGTTATCGGGTTAAATAGATGTGCTTCGTAGTCTTTGTCGTTTCGTTATGTTTAAGTTCGCGGACTAGACTTTACCATAGATGTAAACCGTTTAAACAATTCATGCAGCAATATAAGCCTCTTTTTTTGATACTTGCACTACGTTTTCAACTTCTGGGGTGCGGCAATCTACAAGTGTTGGTTTGTCCCAAGGCTGACATGGAGAGTTGTCACGAGGTTGTATTGTCCTCACCGATCTCTCCTTTGTCCATGTCAGTAACTTGCCGGGTACCTCGATGTGCAGACGTAAAGGAAAAGAGGCCAATCGTGGGTGCTGGGTTCCTCGCAGACAAAGGAAAATGAGCTCAACCCTGAACCAGAAGCGGGCGGACGATCAAAGAGGAGGCCGAGGCAAGACAGGTTCTACAAGGGCTCCGGAAGGAGCAGAGGAGCGAGGGAGGTGACAGGGAGGCGTTGCAGTGCCCGCACCGGGGTTTTGTGAGAGGGCTGTAAACAGTCTTGGTTCTAGGCCACCCCTTGACGTCGAGCTACTTGTTTCATGGATTCTGTCACGGAAATGGCCTGCTACGCAAGGGCTACGACTACGAGACCTGGGGCAAAGTCCCTCGCCGACGTCTTGTATTTAAAGACGTCTTTTATCAACGAGGCCTTGAGGAAAACCAAGGACCTTTCATACCAAAGACTGTTATTAGATGGATTGAGCTATTGACCCCAAGCCCTCTATCGAGCCCCTGTCACAGATTCCTTGTCTTGTGTTTGTCATTTTGGGCTGCGCCTACAAGGCATTTCCTTACCAAACCTTGTGATGGTGGGATGTGTAGTGTACACGATGATAATAGAATCAACGTAAGCGACAGTTTTGTTTCAAACTACTGGCAAACCAACAACCAGGGCGGACACAGAATGCCAACGCCGACAGGAACCTATACAATGAGTATCTGGCACGGCGTAGGAATTTCATCTAGAAACGACCATGTTGAAAATAAAGTACGGCTTTCGTCACCAAAACTCAACGGATTGTCCGCATGGGCATATTCTAGCACCACCTAAGAGTTACGTCCCTTTTCTACGCCATCATTGATCCATACATACATATATACATTTCTATATCAAACCTCAAATTCTTGGTGAGGGAAGACCGGTTGCATACTGGGGTTCTAATATTTGGATAAAGTTTTGTGCAAGCTTGCTGAGGCCGGTCGAGGCTCGCAGCATCGTTACGATGCGTGGCATGAGCCTGATGTAGGCGTCGTTTAGCCCAGGGTGGGATTGAGAGAACCGGGCGCTTAGGAGAAGCAGGATGGGCGTTAAGGGATGCATCTGCTAGATTGTTAACAATCCGGACTTTTGCCTTATCATGTGCCCCGATGATGTTGGGGGAAGAGAAAAGGGGAAAAGGAGAGGGGGTCTACTTTACCTGAAAGTGCTGCCCAAGCTCCGCGATCAGGAGATCTATATAGGCGACGGCATCCAGTGACTGCTGCTTGTGTTCGGCGTAAAGAGCTTGGGTGAGCTGCGTTCCTTGTGCGTCGGCACCTAGGGGCCTGGATTCGATAATGTCATAGAGCATAAGCACGGCCGTATGCGCCGCCAGAGTAACAAAGGCGATAATGGGATCCGGGTACTCCAATGACGCGTGTATTCGTAGCATCCTGATGCGTTGGGCTAATAATGCATTAAGGTAACGATGTCGACGGCAGAAATCTTGACACGGTCCGGTCGGAGGTTTCTGTTTATGTTCCAAGACCCGTCCGCAGATGGTAGCTCCAATGACACTCTCTGTAAAGGGCGACAGCGTATTGTGTGGCCACTCTAGATCGACGACCGGAATCGTATCCGCGAGAAAGCCCATGTCTATTGGACGGCCACTTGCAAAGTTTGCCTCGGGAGCCGGCAGGCGGGTACGGATCTGGCACAAAGTCAATAGATGATCCTTGGCACGAAAAGATTACTTTGGGCAAGCTAACCAGTTGTTCATCGAAGAACATGTGCAGCCCATCAACCATGCTCGTGAAGCGGTCGATTGTATATGCAAGCCAAAAGGTCCGCCTTTTTGTTTCAACATCGATCCAGTCATCCTGGACTGGCCCCTGAAGAGAGAGCTGCCCTTGATACTGCTCCAGTCGCATGGTGTGAGGTGGCCCATCAAGTTCGTACAGCCTCATCATCTGAATCAAGCGAAAGGCCCTGCCGGCGGACATCATACCTCGGTGGAAATCTTGGCACGTTAGCTCATAGATGGCAAGCAAGGTCCACGCTTGGGCCTGCTCGAGGGATATTTGGTGACAGGGTTCGTCTGACTCTAGTGAATGCAGAGCTTGTCTGGTCTTTTCATATAGCTTGCGACCGTCAACCTGAAACTGACTGGAGAGTGACGAGGCCAACGTCCACATGGCGTGCTGTAGGCAAGTTTTCTTCTTGTTCTTGTTTGGTTGTTTAGACCAAGAGCGGTAGCGGTGCTTTTGCAATATTGGCGCAAATGCATAAGCCCGATCGAAATAAAGTTGGTCTCTATAAGCAGTATTAACATGGCATGTCTGGAAATTGTCCTCCAGAGACAAGACGTACAGGTCGTTGTGCATCATGGGAGTGATGAGGAGATCGGGCTCCATTGGAATGTGGACCAGATCCTGGATATTTTCCAGGCTGGGAAGTGAGGAAAAGGGCGAACATGCGGACGAATTGTCGAAACATTCCCACGTCTCCATGTGGACCATGGGGAATTGGAATTCCATCGATGCCGGCCATTGCGGGATAGCAGCAGCTGTTCCGGGAGTTGTGCAAGCGGTATGCAGGATTTCCGTATGGTCGGTACTGCTCTCGACACTCCCACTACTTGCAATTTCGTTGTCCGCGTTGCCCGCTTCTTGAGAGGGAGAAAAGGCGGGTGTCTCAGCAGTAGTAGGAGATGCGGCTTGTTGTTTTTCTAGCTGAGTCTGGAGGTCCTCTGGCAGAACGCAGCTTCATCAGCCTACGAGTCAGAGGTGCAGAAAGGAGGAGAAAGATTGCGAGCAGCTCTCACCAATTCTTTTCTGCAGCGTCTTGAGATATCCCTTCTTTGGCCCTCTAGGCGGGAAGCTGTCTCGAACAACGCACTTGACCCCGGAATTAGCACAAGCCATGCATTGCGGCGTTCCCCTATCGCATCGGATCCTTTTTCGTCGACATTCTTCGCACTTGTCATCTACGTGTTAGTACAGAGAGTCTCTAGACGGACCAAGGCCAAGGTGACCACCTACTGCGCCTCCCGGCTGTTGTCGCGATGGTTGCCCCATGAAAGCTGCTTGAGGGCAGGCTATACTCTGTACTTGACCTAGCAGAGGATGGCAGTCGCTCTTTTGGCTGCAGCAAGTTGATACGCTACGTGACAGTTTTGAGGGAGTTTAAGCAAGGAGTGTCTAAAGTCTCAGTGTATGCTTTGCAAGCCCTCAAAGTATGGCTATCCTTGCCGTTATGTCGACAGAAGCAGAGTCGGGGTGGATCAGATTGTCTCATCCTTTTGTGAAGCGCACAAGAACAAAGACAGCGTCGGATACGCCCGACTTGGCCGGCTAGGCAATACGACGCTTTCGCCAACAGACGCCAGCGGCCGACGTCGCGATCGATAAGGCTGGGTGCCTGGGGGCGAGCTTACTCCCCGAACATGACACCGAATCCCCGACATCTGGGCAGTGGCGTCGGATACACGTGTCTCGGACGCAGCGTTGAGCCAATGGCGGAACACGCTCCGGCCAGAAGACGAATTAACCGAGAAAAACGATGCCATTCGGCTTGTCTAAGTGGCCCACCGTCCCAAGCCTTCTTTCTGTGACGATGATGACGAAGATGACACTATATGTAAGCACCGGAAGCTCCTATAAAAGGACAAGGCGCCACGCCAGATACGACTGAATCCAGCTTCCTGGCTGTCAAACGTCAGCAAGGCTTGATTAGGACTTGTCCGTAAGAATTCCTCAACCTAAGTGGCCGGGCACCGCATAGAGGCCAAAAATTCCACCACAATTAGCATCCTGCCTCGCATGTAAGCACATGCAGCGATGGCTGCGGGTACGGCCGCAAGAACCACGTCATCCATTCGCTTTTGTGATGCAAAGGCCTTGGCTAGGCGCCACATTGGTGTAATGCGTTATGGCATCCTGCCACTGTAGTCGGTCAACCCTTGGTTTCCAACCGTCTGAAGATTCTCTCACCTTGTTTCCAACGGCCAAGCCATTCGGAGTAATTCCTCCTTCACTACTCGAGCGAGGAGTGGCTGGGGGGAGGCTACCAGATCAAGCTTGCCGTATGTCGTTGACCTCATGCCTACCGAGGCAGCGACAACTCCAACATGAATTGTGTGTGGCCGAGTACCAGCATCGCAGACAAAAATGAAGTCTCTCAGCTCTTTTTCCGTTGCACATGTGCTGCTCAAGCTCAGAGAGGCGACCAAAAGTACCCCATTCCTGCCAACAGAGAACTTCCGTACCATGGACGGAGTACCAGTTGGATGAAATGCAGGTTGGCTGAAATGCAAGTCGACTGAAATGTGGGTTCAAATGCGGCAACTGAAACAATGCCGTAGCTCCCTGCATGCAGTGAGTTTCTAAAATTCTTTGTTTCTCCATTCACATGCGACGCCAAGCCTGTCTGTTGCACAGATTGGGGCATGTTGTTCTCATCATCAATCTAGCACTTGCGCATCTTACGTTAGATGCACCCCTGCCGCTGTTTGTGAATCGCGAATAGAGATATTACGATTACCTTTGACAAATCAATTGAACTTGTTGCAGCTAATAGTACCAGCCCATTCAAATTCTTGCCCACTCTCAGTTTTGTGCCTAGACTCGGCAATTGCTCGATATTGATTTTCTTACTCTTATCTACGAGTAGTTGTATCACTATTTGGTATCTATGTCTTCGTTGCAAACCAAGTCTTGCGTCATATCCCTTATATTCTGAGGAGGCATGTTCACATTATACTGGCGTATGGAGTAACATTATCAAATGTACGTGTGCTTGGAGCAGTGCACACCACCTACGGGGCTAGATAGATGCCCAAGGTCGCAAAGGACCAAGGAATAGCAAACTACATGAACCAATCGCCGACAACGCCAAGCTGGTGTTCAAGGCTCTTGACGGGTCTGGTGGAAAAGACGGTGCGAGGGCAAAATCAGGACCAGATTGATCTAGACAAAAGGCGAGAGCAGGACGAGATTAACCAAGCTTACATAGCTCCTAAGCAGTATGGCGGACCTCTGAGTCACTAGCATGACGCGATTGGATGACAGGCTCGTACAACGCAATCCACTTCGCCTCCCGAGAAGCTGAGTGTGATGGGATTGTATAGAACAGTCGAGCTGGGGCAGTGGCTGCAGTAAGCCACGGGAGTAGCTCAGCCTTGACGGGGGGCCAATCCGTGGTTGCTGCCTTGTTTGCTCTCCATTTCTCATTTCATAGCTCATGTGGCGTTTGGCAATATTGGCTGCTGCCGCCTCGGATTCTTTCGCTCAGCTCGCATCGACGCCGGAGTTTCTTTGAAGCTGCCTTCAGCCTTCCAGGGGAAACCAAGTCAGAGGGAATACACTCATCATGGCCCTTGTGCGTATATTAAAGCGAAGCAGTCGATATCTCACGTCAAACAAGTCCAACTGCCATCTTGGCGCTCGTTTGCAACATGTTGACCACCCTTTTCTGCATTGCCAGCGCGGTGGGCGCCTTGGCTGCGTCTGTAGATGCCCGTGATGAGTTTGATTCGTCGGCATATGCTGCCAAAGACGTCGTCGAGCGAGATTTTGCCATTATCGGCGGAGGAGCAGCGGGGACGTATGCGGCCGTCAGCCTGGCCGATCGAAACAAAACCTTCACCCTGATCGAAGTTTCGGACAGGCTTGGGGGACACACCAGAACCTTCCACGACCCCGTCACCGGGGCCAAGGTCGATTCTGGAGTGCAGATTCACGTCGATACCCCCATTGTTCGCGACTTTTTTGCCCGTTTGCGCGCCCCTCTAGCACATGCCGATCTTAAGGATTTCGGCAAGCCCAGATATTACGACTTTGCCAGGCGAGTTGCCCTTGCCAACTACACCAGGGGCGCTGTCCAGCCGGACTATGTAGCCGAGCTCGACAAGTATCCCTTTGTTGAAAATCTCATCGACCTGCCCAACCCGGTCCCTGCCGATCTGCTCCTCCCCTGGCCAGAATACGTCAAGAAGAATAATCTCTCCTACAGCTCGGCCCTGGCCGGTCTCTCATGGCCAGCGACCCCCGGCGATCCATTGGATACCACCGCTCTCGCCATCTTGAACGATGGCAATCACTGGGAGCTGGCCGCGTTTACCGGCGCTGCTGTTCGCGGTGCCAATCACGACAACTCACAGATTTACGTCAACGCCCTGGCCGAATTGAAGCCGCATGTGTTTCTGAAGTCGTCCATTATTGCAGCGCGGCGTGGATCGACCCGCAAGTGCGGCGTGCAGCTCGTGGCCAACACCCCATCCGGCAAAAAGCTCATCAAGGCCAGACAGCTCATCATTGCCATGCCGCCCGTCTTGGACAACACCAAGTATTTCGGCCTCGACCGCCAGGAGCAGGCCATTCTGGGCAAGCTTTCGGGCAAGTACTACTACGCGGGCGTCGTGAACAACACCGGGCTTGAGGACGACGTTGCTTATAACAACGCCGGCGCCGACAGACCGTACCACGTCGCCAGTCTGCCCGGTGTCGTCGAGATCGCCCCTTCAGCTTCGCCTGGGTACCACTTCTACTGGTACAACACGCTCCAGGCACAGACACGGGCTGAAATCGAGGGCGCTGCTCGAAGCACCATCAAGTGGCTACAGACTCAGAACAATGTGAAGACTTTGGAGCCAAAGTTTGTTGACTTTCAGGATCACTCACCGTTCCATCTAAGCCCTCCAACCAGAGACATTGCCGATGGTTGGTATAGCAAGATGAAGGGTCTCCAGGGCTATAGGAACACTTGGTATATCAGTGCCTTATTCGTCGTTAGCTCAACCCAGGTCTGGAACAACACCCAGAACATTCTTTCGGATATTATCAACGCCGCTCAGTCTTAGACTGCGCCAGAAACCGCAAATTGGGTTCCATATTGCACCCGGATCCCAAAACCACAATGATTGCGGTTCTGGAGGACCTTGAGACGATTTGAAAAAAAAAGAAACATTTTTACATAAATAAAGGTCTTGGCATACATAAATTTCCTGATTTGTTTTACTATATTACTGTTTGTTCACCGTCTTGTTAGTCGCTCTTGTACTTATTAACACTCTAACTCCCCTGAAAAAAAATAGAGTCTATACTATTTCGCTTATGTTGAAGATATGTAAGCACTTCTATCACCTATGTTATCTAGTAGTTTCTCGCGCTCCTTTTGCTAAACATAATCACACACTACTTTACATGTTTCTTACCTGCAGAGATGTACTATTAGGCTCCTAGACACTTGATTAATAAAGGTAGTTACTTGACTTTCGTATCTGACTAAACGAATAAGAGTGGCGTGATACATTGTCCAATGTTGGCGGGATATATGCTCAAGGAACCTACTACAATATTATGAAACGGAACATGTTTAATCTGTCTTGTGCACTTCCACGGGTGGCATTGTCATTCGAGGCATGTACCATGCTTAACAGATGGCAATTCTCTGCTTTTGACCTGTTCAAGACCACTACACAGTAATGTACATGTACATAAAGACAATCACCTCCAGCCAACCTCTGGCTTGACCTTATGAGATGGCTAGAAAAGTATGCAGACTTGCCACAGCTCACATTTTCACCCGTAATTGCGATGTCATGAGACTCACTACTATGTTTCAATACAATATCTTTTTACTCGTGTACATGAAATACTCGCCAAGTACTTGTCCGCCGCGGCGCATCTGTGGATCCTACAGCCTTTCTTCCTAAAGCAATTGCCGTGTCAATGTCTATCTATTTATTGATTCAAATCTCGGTAAATGCTGTTGTCTAGTGCGCCATGCGCTCCGCGCGACTCTGCAGGACCTTGACCAGATCAATGCCCACCTTGGTAGCCTCATCCAGGCTCTCATCCGGCAGGCCGAGCAGCTGATTCTGCGCCTTGGCCGAGACATCACTCGGGTCATCCGGGCTAAATGCCCTCGCGTACAGCAACTTGCCAAAACCAGCCATGTTACCAGTTTTGACTTGAGCCAGGCCATCCTCGTACCGCGTCTTGGTGGCCTCGTGGGTGATGGTCCAGTCGGCATCAGTGGTGCCCGTGACGCTTTTGACGCTCTCAAACATGTCGTTTTGGCTGACTACGAAGCTCTTAATGTACACGGCCTTGTTGAGGAACCCCGACAGACTAAGACTCGTGTCGCTCTCGTCGTCGGGGAGCTCCTTGAGGCTCAGCACCTTGGCCACGGCTCGCCCGACCTGCGACAAGGTCGAGGTCGAGTTCTTGGTGTTGCCATCGTCATAAATTGTGAGGGAACGCTTGTCAAAGTCGAACCCAAAGCGCGACTCACCACCCGCCAGGCTGTAATCGTACCAAAATCCGCAGCACACAGTGATCCACTGCATGCCAAGCCTCTCAATTTCGTCCCTTTGGGCCTTGGCAATGGGCCCCAGCATGGTCTCCTCGCCGAGTTTCGTGTTGGCAATGTCGCCGCCGTACCCGTTGGGCATGATGTAGGGAACGCCAGCCTTGGCAGCCGCCTGGACGAGCTTGCTGTGGGCGTCCCGCGGCGCGTTGGGAGCCATGGTGATGATGAAAAATTGCTGGTCCTGGAGGGCGGCTACAATGGTGGCCTCATCGTTGTAGTCGATTGGGGCGACTAGGACGCCCTCGGGGAGCTTGTTGCTGCTGTCTTTTCGGGTGAGGGCCGTGACTGAGTGTTTTCCGGTTTGAAGCAGGGCAGCTGTGATGTTCGATCCGATGGTGCCCCCGGCCTAAGGTGGATGTGTTAGTGTCACTATGGCTTGTGTATAGTGTTGATGTGCTTACCCCGACAATGGCGACCCTCTCGATGGCGTTTTTAAAGCCGACGGGCTGGTTTTTGGCGTACTTGGACATTTTTTTATTCTTGAGCAAGTCGTGGAGTTGAAGTGTAGAGCGTATTCAACGTGGTGGTCATGTATTATACTATTATCCCTCTTGAGAAGAAAATGTCCGCCCAGCCTTTATGCATGTCGGGCTTAGCCTCGATTTCGCCGCCTGTCAGCCTGTCAGCCTGTTTCACATCCTACCGGAGGAGGAAATACCTCAACAATCCTTCTCCACCTGGCCCACCCGAGTTCCATCTGTCCCGGTCCCACTCGGCTCCACCCTGCGCTTCTCGGCCGCAGCAGCCGCAACAGCCGCAGCAGCCGAAGCAGCCACGCGCAAGAGTCCAATACAATGACGTCGACACAATAGCACAATCACCAAAGCTGAACGCCCTCTGATGGGCGTCCCTGAAACGGGGGTGGACAAGTCCGCAGCAGCCGCAGCAGCCGCAGCAGCCGCACCGCAGTAAGCCACAGGATACAACATGGCAGTGATTATTCAACCATGGACTGAGGTAGCAGCTCCGCACGTCTCCCGCAACGCCCAGAACGGGGGAGATGAAAATCTCGACATGGAAGTACCAACTTATTTACACTCCATTGCGCCTGGCAGGACCGACACAGCCATACAAATGCGCATTTGTCCATTTCTGCGACGTTGCCATCCTTATACTGGCTGATCAAAGCTCACAGGAGTCCTAGTGATTGCGCCCATTCGTCACTTACACCTCACTCCGCCTTCATCAACCACGGCAATGTCTTTACAAGAAAAGGGCAACACGCCTCCTGGCGAATGGCCACCTGGCGATGCAACGCCCAGGCAAACACCCGCGCAAACACCCTGCAAAGTCTCAGAAGAGAGCCATCACGGCAGCCGTCATGGCCACACCCACGACGACGACCTCGATGACCATACTGAAGCCCGCGTCCAGCGCCCCCAGTCCCTTGCCGGCGAGGTCCTCTTCATCGCCGTCATCTGCTCCTCCCAGCTCCTCGCGCAAGCAGGTCTCGCCCTGAGCATCGTGCCCCAGCACATCATTGCTCGCTCCTTTGGCATCGAGAACCAGCCCGGCGAGGTGAGCTGGTTCTCGGCGGCATACTCCCTCACCGTCGGCACCTTTATCCTCATCGCGGGCCGTCTCGGCGACGTCTTTGGCCACAAGCGCTTCTTCGTCGGCGGCTTCGCCTGGTACGGTCTGTGGTCCGCCCTCGCCGGGGTTGCCGTATACAGCGGCCCCGTCTTCTTCGCCTTCTGCCGTGCCATGCAGGGCATCGGCCCGGCCTTCTTGCTGCCCAACTCCATCGCCATCATCGGCCGCTGCTACGACCCGGGCCTCCGCCAAAACATGATCTTCAGTCTGTTCGGTGCCACCGCCCCCAGCGGCTTCCTCCTCGGCGCCGTTTTCGCCAGCCTGCTCTCCCAGATGGCCTGGTGGCCCTGGGCCTACTGGGTCATGTGCTTCGCGTGCCTCCTGCTGGCCCTCTTGGGCGTCTTTGCCATTCCCGCGACGCCGCCACCGACCAACCCGGAGCATGAGGGGTCCAGCGCCTGGCAGCGTGTTGACGTCTTCGGCTCCGTCACCGGCGTGGCCGCCCTGGCTCTCTTCAACTTTGCCTGGAACCAGGGTCCTGTCGTGGGCTGGCCGACACCTTATACGTACTTCACCATGATTATCGGCATCCTCATCTTCGTCGTCTTCGTCTTGGTCGAGAAGAGGGCGCGACACCCCCTGATCCCCTTCGGCGTCCTGAAAATCGACTCCCTCTTCACCCTGGCCTGCGTCAGCGCTGGCTGGGCCAGCTTCGGCATCTTTATCTACTACATCTGGAATTTTCTCGTGGTCCTGAGGGGTCAGACTCCTCTGTATACGTCTGCTCAGTTCGCTCCCATCGCCATCAGCGGGCTATTGGCCGCCGTCACCACGGGTCTGGCCTTGAGTCACCTCCGCCCCTCGACCGTGATGCTCATCTCCATGACCGCCTTCCTCGTCGGAGGCATCATTTTTGCGACGGTGCCCGTCCACCAGACCTACTGGGCGCAGACCTTTGTGTCCGTTATCGTCTTTCCCTGGGGTATGGACATGTCCTTCCCCGCCGCCACCATTGTCCTGAGTCGGGCTATGCCGCGGCAGCACCAGGGCCTCGCTGCGTCGCTGGTCAACACCTTTGTCAACTACTCCATCTCCATTGGGCTCGGGTTCGCCGGCACGGTCGATTCGCAGGTAAGCGACGGAGGGAAGAATGTTCTGCGAGGTTACCGTGGCGCTTTTTACATGGGCATCGGTCTATCCAGCTTGGGCGTAGTTGTGGCTCTGATCTTCTGCTTTTTGGAGCGTCGTCGGTCGAATGTGTCTGAGGAGATAGCAGGGGGGTCGAGCCAAATGGAAGTGGAGCTCACTTAAAATGTGTATTATGACCGGTTTCCATACATACGATGCAGCGCTTTAATAGACTATTGCGGAATGCCACAGCGCGCCTTGATGAGTTGCATCGCCGCCGAGTGAACTCAAGCCGTGTCCAACAGGCCCCCGTGCCACTACCACTGGACGTCAGGACCGAGCATCGATAGATATGGCTCGACGAGGAACTGCTCCCAGTCCAACCCCCAGGCCATGTCTTGCACGGCGGTGTTGGCCTCGGAATCCCGTTGCGCCACGGGGGATGGATGGCCGGCCCCGACAGCTTCCAGCTGGGCGAGCTCCTTTCGCTTCTTTTCCGTATTTAGAATGAGTAGATGCCGCGCCATGGACAAGGCCTCACGTGTCGGCCCTGTGTCGGCAGCCCTGACGAGATCCTCCAAGCCCCTGAAGGCAGCGGGAATGTGCAGGGAGGCGGCCGGCGTGTCAATGGCCAGCAGGACGCAGGCATACTGGAAGACGCTGCCGATGACGTTCCAGAACAGACGACCCTGGTTAGCCAGCTGCTGAGCCGATTCCACTGCAGCGTTGCCACAATCAATGACGAGCTTGATCATGTCGTCGGATATACCCATCTTTAGCTGATAGATGCGGCGATAGAAACAAAACGCGAGGTCCGCCTTGGTTACCACCAGAAATGGATGAGTGAATTGGAGCTGTTCCAATGCCTTCAGACGCTCAAACAGCTCCTCCCGAGGAGTTGAAGGCTGGCATTCGAGGTGGAACGGGGAGTTGGGCGCCGGGATGATGTGGGCAATTCGCACGAACTGGTCGGCGACGGACCCTGATGTCGGGATGATGGCCTGGCAAGTCACGGCCCGAAACCGTACAGACGAGCGGTCGTACTCGTAGGACAGCAAGTTGTGCCCGGCCCACGAGATCCAGAATATGCGCCGCAGCCGGTCCGCGTCGTGTCCAACAGCGCCGGCGCCGGCGACGGACGCCATCTTGTTGATATTCTCTTCCTCGTGCAGCCCCACGGCTTCGCACAGGTGCATCATGGTGCATGAGGCGATCCAGGCATTGTTGGGGCGGCTCGTGGCTCGCAGGTAAAATACTCGCATGGCCCACGCAACAATGTGGTCGATGCCCAGCATGCGCATCGAGGCTGGATCGTCGAGAATGGCCTTGGCGTACTGCACCAGGTCAGACTCGCGCGGGTGTCTGTTTGGGGATAGAAACGACCCGAGCGCGGCCACGCCAGCGGCCACGGCGCCAAAGGCGGTCATGGTGCTGCCGCCGCCATGGTAATAGTCCCGACACCGCTGCGTGTAGATTCTCGGGTCCAGGTAGTCGCCAATGGGTGCTAGTGTCGAGAAGTGCACATCCGAGAAGATGCCCAGATCGTGCTCCGAGATGAGCGTCCCCAGCAGGGCATGCGCGTTGGAGGCCTCGTCGGGGCGGATGCCAAAGTTATACGCGAGCGAGTGCATCTTGGAATGGCTATCAGAGCCAAGGACGCCGCTCAATATGTGCGGGAACGCCATCGACGCCGACGCCCCGGCGTATCTAGACTTGTGCTCGTCAAAGATGCCGGCGGGCGCGGTCGTGGACGCGCCGGCCCTGGGCGTCGGGCTCTTGGTCGACGAGCCATGGGCCTCGCTCGGGCTTTGGCCGACCTGAGACCGGCTGCCGGGACCCGGCGATGTAGCGGCGGCCCGGCTTGGCATGCCGCTTCCGCCGTCGACGCCGACACGCTTGGCTGGCGGAGGATCATGTCCGCCGCCGGCCGAGGTGCCCGTGGAGTCATCGTCACGGGCGGCGTACCTGCAGTTGTATTCATAGGTGGTGCACATGCCACAAGGGTACTCGGCGTCGCATTTCCGCTTGCGCTGGTGGCAAGGGATGCATGCCTTTCTCGCGCGCTTGCGCCTGGCCGGTGTCGTCGACATGCCTGCCAGGAGGCATGGGCTTCACGATGTGCGGCTGCGGTGCAAATATAACTTTCCAATGTCAAGGTTGGTTAAAGTTGACTTTTGGCCCCCACTATTTCAATCTGTCAGTGGACGGGTTGATATTCCGCCGGCCACATGTGCAAGGGATGGTCCCTGCATGTCGCTAAAAAAAGAGAGGCTGGTTAGGGTTAGGGTTGGAACCCATCATCCTCGCTTTCATGGGCGCGGGGGAATTTACAGGCCGCCCGACCATGCATTGCGCTACGAGCGTCGTGAAGCTAACAGCATTGAAATTAAACTTTAAAATTTATATCATCATTGAATGAACCTCTCACGGTCATCTCACTCAGACCTTCTTGTTACGCCCCAAACTGGGTTTTCAAGCTGTACCTGGTGCCTCTAAACGCAACATGGACCGTGGATTCCACGTTGTGATCGTTATTAACTGATCGATGACATTAGCTCTTGAACCATAGGTTGTTTCCCCCAAAAACACTTAATCTTGCCCTAATGATAGCTCTTGAATTACTACAACTCACAATGCACTTGCGGGCGCATCTGGTACCTTGTGGCTTGCCAAGCGTGACAGCACAATATATTTGGAACTAAGTTCTAGTGGGAGTAGAATTTAAATCTGTCTGTGGTATTCAATCAATTTGATGCCTAAGCTAGGCTTTACTACTGCCACTGCCACTGCTACTGCTACTGCTACTGCTACTCCTGTGTGACAAGGGCTCGTTAGAGTGCTTGGAACGACAAGGTTCAAATTCAAACATAATATCAAATAGTGTTAAAGGTTCTTAGTTTTTTAAGAGAAAGGAAGGGAACAACAACCGCTATATATATATATGAAGGGAACGGCTGTGCCTAGGGCTCTTACCCGGGCGCGTGTTTAATCTGTGTAACCAATAGGTCCTGCTACTCCTGCTACTCCTGCTACAATAATACCAACATCTCACTGTATTCTCACAAATGCATGGTATTTTGTGCTCCTCTTGTCAGTATCAACGTGACTATAATTGGACTTTTAGTTTTTGCTTCAAGCACTCATGGCATAATAACGCGAGAGACTTACATGTGACCATTTCCGGTACTGCTCCCTCGTTCGTCTCTTACTTTTTCCAGCCGCCGAGGCGAACCAAGGAGAGGATCCCTCTCATGCGAACTGTTTGGCCTGGGGTAAAGCGTTCTAGGCAAGAGCTATTTTCAAAAGAGGTTAGCCGTACATACGAGGATGAGAATGATTTGATTCATCTTGATGTAGACAGTTTCTGGGCGCTTACTCTCCAGAGTAGTCCATGTAGTTGTCGACTGGATCCAGACCGAGCAAGTCGGGACAGGTATCGCGGCCGACGGGACACTCATCCAGGTTGTTGGCAGAGGCTTCGGCAGGAGTGTCGGCAACAAAGTCGCCACCCTCCTCGTTGCAACCGCCGTGGAAGGTATGCAATAGACCAAACCAATGGCCAACCTCGTGGACAGTAACCATACCCAGGACGCCCGGGTTGCCAGGCAGGGTAAAGGAACCGATCACGCAGCCATCCCTATCCAGTTCCTCGCCACGGTTGGTGTATATGCCGGGGAATCTGCAGAAACCCCCCAGGCCGTCGTATATGCCAGGCAAGTAATAGAGATTCAAGGTGCGCGAGGTGCCTTTGTGCAACTTGGTCTTGTAGTCCATTTCGAAATCCTTTGGATGCATGGCCCATGAGGCGTTTTGGTTCCAGGTTGTGCCATTGAGGTTGAAGGTGAGGTTACTTGGTGCAAATGCGTTGTTGAGGACTTTCATCTGGCTGTCGATTTCCGCCTTCTGCTCAAGGAAACTTGGATTAGAACAACGCAAACGAGTACCACAAAAATAGGGCCTGTAAAGGCAAAAGGGGACGTGGAAGCACAAGCTTACAGTCAGCCAGCCGCCTTGCCTGGTTTGATTGGTAGCAATAACGTGAACCCACGTCTCCAACGAGATACGCTCACCGGTATCCCGACGAGTCAGGCGTGACTCGTCCTTGGATAACTCCTCGTGCAGAGCCAATATATCGGCATCTGGCTGGGAATCGCAAAACTCCCCTTGCTCTCTCGTCAACAAAGTTGCGCTGGCAATCGGCCCGAGGGCTAACAAAGCAGCGGCGAGATAAGACAGAGACGGCATTTTTCAGAAATAGTTTGTCAAAGGTAGAGGAAAGGTGTATCTTATGTCTGGTTTGCGCCCCTTCCACTGCCAGAATGTGGCAACAGAGACTTATATACTGCTACGGTGCACGGCTGTCGCGTTGAGAAGTAGCTCGCCATGTGCTCTCGCCGACTACGAGCTTCACGCGGGCCCGTACCGAGCTCGGATTGAGAGCATGGCTATTCTTTTCCCATCGACTTTTCTCTCTTTGCAAGGGAGGTAGGCTAAGTCTACGCTGGGCTGACGAGGCCTACGCCCGTTGTCCATGTCCACAATAGGTTAAGGTCTCGGTCAGCAGCCGAACCAGGCGATGGCGGGGTTAGGGTTATGTGGGAAGCTGCATGCGCCTAAAATAGTAAATTTTGACTGAGCCTTTTAGAGTTAATTACAAGGGGCCGTGTTAAGGGTCGGCCTAATCGTGCTACTACAAGACGGTTTATTGCAGGTGGCTGGTTGCAAATACGAAGCTACCAGACCGTTGACATCATTGATGCCAGGCCTTATTTGGATAACACACCGGTTGAGGGTTGCGCTATGGACAATTTGGTATGCCGACCCGATGTCCCATCAGAGATGCGATCAATTGCGACAGCATCGAGTCAGGTGGTTGACCAAGGTGGAAGTTTATTACCCGGGGGCTAAATTGGGCATAAAAGACCGCGGCAATTATGAACCGTTCCCGGCATATATCATGTCTGGTGCAAATATATCAACTCCACCCTTAACCCACAAAATAAGTTGCTACGGCAGAATTGTACCGTGGTACTTGCTTTGCATCATCCATCATGTGCTGGGCGGCATTTGGTGGATTGTGGCTTGAGGTTTTAGCCCGCACGCGAGCATCTGCGGCCGTGTTTGCGCCGTGACAGGGTTCTCCCACTTTGTTTCAAGGTTCAATGTTCCTTTGGTCCAAAGGATCTATTGTTTTAACGTGTCTGGTATGCCAAATTTAGGCAAATGGCTACCGCTATCCCTGCTTTGGCAGACTTGCGGTCGGGTCATGGAGTGTTAAAATTATATATGCCTAAAATTATATTATATTTCACTTACTTACTAACTTTATAATTAGGGGTAATAACTATAACAAATATATATATTAAATTACTTTTATTTTATCCCTAGTGCGGCATAAACTGAATAAGGGCTCTCAGCGGAGGTAGCAAGAGGAGCTTGCGCAATGGGACTAACAGGTTGTAAAGTGTCGCAATGAACCAGACCCAACCCGCGGGACTTTTCCATTGCAACGGCTTCTCCTCGACAGGGTCCCATGGCTTCCATGACGGGATGCTTGCCGATGGCGGATAAAGTAAATCACATCTTATCTCGACACATAAGTAGTGAGAAGAAAATAAAAGGAGGGTTCAGCATACCAATATTCAGTATTTGCTGAATCTTCTAACAAAGCGGCTAACTTGGCGGTGTCTTGATTTATTCCTGCATCAAGTATATGAGCCATAGGGCAGCCGCGTGATTGCGAGATGGACACACAACCTACTGTCTGTTGCTGTTTGTTAACAATCTCCTTGGCTGATATCCTTTCGTCTGGGCGCGCAATCAGAGTGTCTTTGACTAGGCCCTCTAGACCGTTTGGTTCTAATCCTCGTTGAAGGACAGCGACTCCATCAAGCCACCTCCTTATCGGTGCGGGATCATCCCTAATAGATCCTATTTGCCATTGGGGACCAGTAGATTCGGGTAACGGAACTTTTTTCAGCATGTATAGCATTATTACTCCTAATGCGAAAACATCGCTCTCGGGTCCTCTGCAGTCGCCTGTTAGCAATTCGGCTGGGATGTACCATGGTGTTCCTCCTCGTAAACGGGGGTCGCCGAAGGCAGTAGCAAGACCAAAGTCAATGAGAACAGGCCCCCGTGAAGGATCATAGACGATATTTGCAGGTTTGATATCATTATGGATTATTTTTTTACCATGGAGGTATTCTATCGCTGAGGCCATGGTGCCGAAGACACGGATTGCGTCGTCCGAAGTGCCCGTAAAATAGAAGTCTCCAGCTTTATTTGCCCATGTTGAAGCTGCAAGATCAGGATATGGCAAATGTTCCATATATATAGAGTAAAATCTAGCATCTGATCCGTAAAACTTGATAATTGCAGGCTGGTTCGTTCTCGTTAGTATTTCGAAGCCCCAGACTGCAGCTACAAGTCAACGCTCTCGGAGCGAGCGTACCACCACCAAGAATTGTCGTGCAGCTAAACCGCCAAAAGGCCCCATACACGGCCATGGCGAAAATAAGTTTGTCACACGGAGTAGCAGGAGAATAGCAGGGAAACCGCCAGAGACCGACAGACTTCAATAACGTCAGCACCATATCCAAGCCCTCAACCAAAACCATTCCTTCGGGACGATAGCAATGGCACCGCAAAAGGAAAATGCCTAAAATCCTGGTGGCTGAGCAGAACAGTAGTATATCCCCTGAAGCACACAGTACGTCAAAGTACTGTAATGTGAGATAAGTATGCACGGTGCAGGGAGATTGATCCATCGAACGACAAGGAGACAAAGGAGCTATGGCAGAGTATTCAATGCAGTCAAATAATCACACGATGGTTAGACGCAGGATTTTTCGCCTGGTATTTTCAGTCGCCTAACCCGAATCCGGCTGGGAAACTCTACAGGGTCGAAGGTGTCAGCTACTGAGGTGATAGTGGCCCGAAATTCATTGATTTGGTCATTATTGTGCATTCAAGTTTACGACTGAGCTTAGAAGAAATACAAATCTGGCGAGCTGCGGGTAAACTGTCGAAAGAATCGTGGCACAGATCAGGTCCCATTCTATGTGATGGAGAAATTTCTGCTTCTTGCAGTAGGGCGAGACAGCCCGACATCTTATTTTTACAACGGATAGCTTGATGCGAGGAAGGCTTGCACTGCAGTGGGCTCCCACACATATGGACAAAATGGACACCACTTATGCGCGCATGACCAAAGGTGATTCGGCCTAACTGCATGGGGACCCGGTCAGGATGATAAAGGAAGCCAATGATAAGTTTTACCAGGCTCGTGGATGCTTATATCAGGTGATATGACCTTTGAACAAATGTTTCGAAACCTGATCATCCGCGGATATGGGCTACATGCTGATAGACTCAATATCATCGTCACTATCGTCAAAACCTTGCCACTCATTCCTGAAACGATCGCTCGCGCCTCTTGGTAGTACACACGTTATGGTGCTTGGTCGCATCGGCCATACTGACATGGCGATGCATAACCACTCGATCTGCCATGTCTGGTCTGCTAAATGTAGGGACTTCCGAGCGGGAAGGGTTGTTGATGCCGAGCCGTGAAAAAGCGAGACGCAATTCAAGTCCAGTGACAAGGCTAGCTTCTCTCGCGTCTTTCCCTCGGGCTCAGACTTGCTCAGATGAGGAAATTGACCAAGAGCGGCAAGTATCAATTGGTCATATGCTAAATTGAAAGAGGGCTGACCCTGCACCGGCTGGAATACGCCTTCTTGGACTTGAACGCACGACTTGTACTTGGACACAACCCAGTAGCTCCTTAATATTTGTTGCAGCGACATTTTCTTGCGTTGACCCTTTCGACCTTTAGCTCTGGGAACAACTTAACTTCCAGATGATGCCGGCTGCGACGTTCAAACACAGGAGGTTGGCTTGCAGCCATTTGAGACTCGGTAACAGTTGAATGCTGAAGCCTCCATCATCAGCTGCATATAGTGTATCCAATCGCCTTGTCAAAGGGTCGTAGCCATCAATTGATGCTGCTGTCCAGTTAATTGACCCATGAGGCCACAGGCAAACATTGTAGACCTGCCTACGGGTTATTACCATGACAGCTACAGTTGCCATATTTAACACGACACCTGCGTGCACTCTTCTTGTACCGCAGCGGGATTATTTAGCTGAGTAGATGATGGCATGATACAATATTCCCTGTAAATTCTGCATGAAGAAACTAAATACTTTGCAACATTGCTAATTCCCAGCCAATCGCACATTGTTTTTGCCTGCAATAGGGCTCCTCCCTCTTGATACCGCTCAATGTTTCTCCGAAAGGCCATCCAGGATAACATGGGAAGCCTTTTGACTAATCATAAACACAGGGACAACAGGGAACGCACCCGGTGTACGTGGAAAGACGGAGGCATCCACCACACGAAGACCCTCGACACCATTGACATTGAAATCAGGGTCGACGCAATAATCCGGGTCGTCTTTGGGGCCCATGCGGCAAGTCGATGTGACGTGGTGGCTATACGCATTGTCTTTAATCGATTGCTTCGTCTCAATCTCTGGACTGGGTTCAATAATCTCAAAGGGGGCATACGGCGCGCCGGTGGCATTGAAAACACGCTTGACCATGTCGGCCGCCTCCTCGAGAGCCTGCAGGTCGCGTTCCGCCTTTTGCTCAAACCAGTTAAAGTTGATCAGCGGCGTGTCTCTAGGGTCCGTCGAGCGCAGAGTCACAGTGCCGGCCTCGTTGCCAGTCTGCAACTTGACCAGAGACCAGAAGAAGGCGTTGTCCGGTGACCGCACCCGGCTGAATCCGGGGAAGAATCCATGAAAGTCGGCATTGGGGCCGCCAAAAAGAGCGATATCGCAGTCTGGGGTCTCGCTCACGCTCGATTTAAACAAGGCCGACAGTGGCGCGCCGCCCTCGCCATAAGGTCCCAGGCCTTGCGATTGCCAAAGTTCGAGGCATGGATCGTCGGACGGCGGAAGACTTGGGTTCATTTTGCAATTTTCAGAAGGGTTATTCTCCCACGGCGTGTTGGCACGGACACTGACGCCGGTTTCGTAATTATCCTGCATGTAATTTCCCTGACAAACTTGTTAGCGGCCTCGGACGCCAAGGGGCACAACATCGAATACCGGCTCACCACGGCAGGCAAATCCACGACAACTGGTATTCCCAACTTTTCCAATTCAGCTCGGGGTCCGACACCGCTTAATTTGAGTATCTGCGGCGTGTTGAATGCTCCTCCAGCAACAATCACCTCTCTAGAAGCTGCGACCCTCTTGAGCTCGCCAGAGTTGCTCGCGTTGTATCGGTCGTCGGCCGAGTAAAGGGCCTCGCCGACTAGATACTCGACACCACTAGCCCGGGGTTTGCGGCCACACTTGGCATCTTCAAATAAAACGCGGGTCGCCAGGCTGTGTGGGCTTAGTGTTAGAGGGTATTTCGCGGAGCCGTCCTCATTCAAGGCGCTTAGTGTATCCGCGATATAGTTTCGGGCCCCGTTTCGGCGTCTTCGAGAGTCGATATGCAGAGCAATGTCAAAGACTTGAGATTTCTCGTAGCGGTCGGGCTCGATGCGATTTATATCCCGCCTTAGGAGGTCAACTAGTTGTTGCTCACTCTGGACATCGACGCCCTCGAGCTCTCGAATCGCCTCCTTGACAAGCTTCGTTACCCCCGGACGAGAGGTGGTAAAGGTATCATTTATTTGTGCCGACTGGTATAGTTAGCCAAGTCTCTTTTGGTCGACGGGTCCTGACATACCGAAACGAAACCGTCGTAACCGTGGCCCAACTGGTCAGGGGGGAGATAACCGTTTCTTTCAACTTCAACAAAGTATTCTCTCATTTTTTCCGGTAACCAAGAGTCGTCATTGGTAAGGTTGGCTATGTGTGTCCAGTCGCTGTCAGGAGGTACAACAAAGTACATGGCGTTGACTTGGGATGAACCTCCAACTGTTGCCCCACGAGGGTAGTATATACCCAGCCTGTCGTATTGTTAATTGAGATGCCAAGATTTTGGACTGCGGGGTGTCTTACGGCTCTGCACCAGCAGGAGGATCCAGTCCAACATAATACGATCCATTGTCAAGCCTGTATGTGTACTTATTGTCCCGCCTTGCCTGAGTTTCATTTTGAAAGTGGTTGACAAAGAACTGCCAGGAGATTCCAGGTGTTTCACCAGCCATGTTAAACCTGCAGACTGTTAGTGATATGGAGTGTTTTATGCTGGTTAAACTGTGCTTACCAAGCTGGGACTTGTGCGATCAGGTTCTCGCCTTGATCCTGCCCAGCCTCAATTAGGAACACGGAGTGACCTGCGCGGGCAAGATTGGCCCTGTTTCTTTGTAAGCTGGAAATTCCTTGAGTTGGGGGAAAGGGGTTCCTCCTACGCTACTGTGCCACCTCCGGGGCCTGAGCCAACCACAACATATTCGTACTCTTCAGTTTGAACTGGCGCTCCTGCGCCTAGGGCGGCCAAGAAGGCACCAAGAGTAGCTAGCTTCATCATGGTGTGAAAATGAGCAAGTAGCTTGATAGGTGTCATAAAGCCCTGTGTGATGGTTGAGGTCACAGTGAGACCGAAGCGACCTTTTTATAAGGATCTGAGAGGGCTCTAGCGGCGACTCTATGGCTGCCAGCCTAGCTCGTCCGGTCTCTACATGTATGAACAGAAACGTCCTAAGTCCGAATGCTACTCTCACCTTTGAAACAATTCAAAACTTATCCCAGCATCTTGGAGTTCATGCACAGTAGCATTTGGTGTGCCCGGTAATGCTCCTTTGCACCACCATACAGCGGGATATACTGGTGCATGTAATGTAGCACTGCGTGCCGCCTTGCAAAGCAAATGAATTAAATGCCCACTCAACTGGTCTTATGTTGCAGTGCGGAAAGAAGTCTGGCACTCGGAGCAAACGACTTTTGTAAACAGTCCCGAACATTATCTCCGAGCAAGCACGCATATCAGCTTTTCGACCGCCAAGAACAAAGCACTGCGGCAACGATGTGACCTCATGACAACATGGTTTATGCATGACATTTATGAGCACAGGATCCAGTTCGGAATTAATACTCCAGGAACAACAGACAGCGGCAGCAGACTTGACTTCGGAACAAGCCGTTCCCCACTGTGGATTTCTGACGCAGCTCGTGATCAATTAATTGGGAATATTGATCTCAAGCTCAGAAGAAAAGCATGTACCAAGACCCCCCTGGGAATATGCTTGAGCAAAGTCCATTATTCGTCATCAAGCCCCATATGCCTGGACAAGTACCATGCATTGTACGGTTTAGTGTTACATTGTTAATTAACTCAGTACCAGCAGCAACTGAAACTCCCATTTTTTTGCTTAATTCCCTTTAGAGGAAGGAGGGTTTGTATCATTTACCTGAGTTTCCAAAGGTGGTTAACCACCTCTTGAAACATCCCGGGTCTACCATTTTATGATGATCGTCACCAGCTTCAAGTCTGGTGTAGAGACAGCTTTGTCTAGCAACCATGCCATTGAGCAGTGCACCAGACTCTTAGGCAAATGCCTCCACTTGTACACAGACAGATGCGGCGCCCTGACTAAACCCGCCAAGTCACTAGCTAGTCATGTCAAGTTGGACAATCCTAGTAGTTATAGAATGACCAAGTAGTACTTTCTGGGCGTGGTAGTGCATAGTAGATGTGTGTTGCAATCATGCCCTACGAGCGCGTAAGCAGCAATATGGGATTCACTATAGAACTCTTAGTTCTGCTCTAATATAAAGCAATTCATGGTAAGTTCACTTTCAACAAATACCAACCATCATATTATGAAACCATTCATGGCTATTTAGCAGAACATTGAAACTGAATTGATGTCTGCTGTTGACCACGCAAGGTTAACTGGCAGGGGCTTCTAGGTGGAGCAGTGGGCCAATCACATGCAATCATGGGGATACTATTAGCGCATCGCACCTTTGTGATTCTAGAAACCTGACTTGACTAATGTGCATGGAGCCGTGGACCGGAGATGGCTTAAGTCCGGCACAAGACATCCGATTAGCAGCTTCGCCCAGCCTAATATCAAGTAGTGTAGAATAGGCAAGAACTTGGAATAAATAGCAAGGGTATGGAACTCGGCTCCTGTATCTTGCCATTTCGCACTTGCCTCTGCTTAAAACAACTTGAGCTTATCAACCATTTTTATCTTTATTTGTACAGAGACAGTCACAGACTTATTGCATAATTTTCGTCTTCAAATTAGCCGCGACTCTCCTACCGTATACTCCCTTCCTGTTATACTACATCTCTTTCAAGAAACAAAATGTCGACCGTTCTGGTTACCGGCGGCGGCCGCGGCATCGGGCTTGAACTCGTACGGCAGCTAGTGCAGCTACCAGAGTCACGAATTTCCCTCGTCCTCGTCACAACTCGAGGTCCCTCCCAGCCCTTGGACGAGCTCATCTCTAGCTCGGCCGGCCGCATTGCGCAAGTCCAGTGTGAGATTACCGACGACAACTCAGTGAAGCAAGCAGCAGCTGTCATTGAGACTAAACTTGCCGGCAAAGGGCTCGACATCCTGATCAACAATGTCGGAGTACGTAGTTGGCCCCTGACCAGTCTTCTTTCCGTGCTAACAAATAGGCAAGATAATGTCATACACGGAGGGTAGAGTTGGTGCCTTGGATGGACAACAGTTGCTGACTGCTTTCAACGTCAACGTCTTAAGCACGCACCGCATCACCGCAGCATTGATTCCGCTGCTGCAGAAGGGTACCGGAAAGAAAATAGCCATGATGTAAGTCTGCCAAACGAGTTTCTTTCCAGAAACCATCTAACCTTGCCTAGCTCAACTCCTCTTGGTTCTATCGACTATGCCAACAGGTACACGTGGCTCCCAGTGCCATCATACAAAATTACAAAAGCTGCGATGAATATGTTGTCCGTCCAGTACGCCATCGACTACGAAAAGGAAGGATTCACCGTTGTGGCTGTTTCTCCAGGAGTAAGTTCTAATTTAAATCAAAGATGCAAAGAACTAAGCGATATTAATACCAAAATACAGTGGCTTCGAACCGACATGGGCTCTCAAGACGCAGACTTGGATGTTGCAACTGGTGTTAGGGCCTTGAAGGATTTGATCTTGTCGGCAACCGTCGACGCCAACGGTAAATTCTACAATATCCACGTCCCAGGCTGGGAGAATGCAGAAGGCCCCAACCAGTACGACGGCGCAGTGATCCCCTGGTAGGGTCTGCTCGGGAATTCGACTAGACTAGACTAAATAGATTATAGACTAAAGCATCTGACGCCGCTCAACCAACCTGACATTGGGAATCACCCAAAATAGCTTCAGTCTGGTGTTTGTTCTCGGGCATTGTAGAGCCTTGAGCTGTATCAATTTCCTCTAAAAGTCTCGTCACTTTGGGTGCACTTATCTAGCCCACTCCCGTTCTCCCAGCTAATCATCTTCGGTTTCTAAATATTAATCTCGACAGCACAACTCCCAATCAGACCGCTGACATGTAGGCGAATAGGCACAACTTGCTGTATTATCTTGACTCATGAGCAATCTCTCTTTACTTGGCCAAAGCTCTCAATTAGGGACCGGATGATGGCGTTGTTATAATAGGGTGCCCTTGCTCTTACTTACAGCAAGAAAATGCTGCCAGTGAAGCCACGGCAACCCTAGTTGTAGGTGCAAATTCACACATACTTGGATGGTTGCAATATTGTCATAACTGCACCCTCGCGTTCTATTCAACGGCCCAAGGGTTACCAACATGCGGCTGTCGATCCTCACGCCCATCATCACCAGTACTCGTTGTTTGGTGAGGCCTAGGCTCAGGCTCATCTCCTGTGTTGTCATCCCCTCCGCCTCCAACTGCAGCTGGCAGAAGCCGAGTCCTCTCGGTGCTCCGCTCTGCTTCTTCGGTATTGGTTACATGGAAACTCACTCCCCTTGTTGGCATTCTCCTAGCTAGAGTGAAAGACGGCCACGGGAAGAAACTTGCCATCTGTACAAGTAAAGGACCTGTCAGGAAACAGCATTGGGTGGTGCTAGCCGGGACGCAGCTCACATACCTGAAAAAGTCCGATAAACAGCACGATTCCAAAACTAACGCCAGAGTTATTCTGCAATGCTGCCCTCCAAGGTTGGATGCACGCCGTGTCTCGCCCGTACGTTTCGGCGCATTGTTGGGCGGTATGCTGATTGGGGAAAGGCCAAGCTCTGTCCCTTACCGTATTAAAGCCACAGCAATTCAGGGCATCCTGAATCCGCCGGATCGACCCGGCGTCGTGGCTGCTGAAGAAGCGCTGCCAAAGGGTCGATAGCAAGCAGTCGCGGGCGGCTGATGGCAGAATGTTGGAGAAGAGAAGGGTTGCCAGGACCGTAGTCAGGATTGCTTGGCCAACCTGCAAGGCCTGGGCCACGAGACGATTCAGGCGGCTATTAGAACGGGCGAGACGCGGATATGAGAGTGCGTTTGCAGCAGCTGCTAGAGGAAGTAGAACTGCGATGATGGTAAGGGTCGGAGAGATTGGCAGCGATAAGCTCGTGGAATGAATGTGCTCGTATCTACGGTGGTTCGTTAGCGAAGATGGTTATTGACGTCGAGTCGAATTGGACAAACAGTGCCACTCCAAAGAGCGCCAGAACTACCTGCTTCAAGTTAGTTCCAGGTACACGATGCTTGCATCTTCGCGTCTTACCACAAGGAAGGCAAAGAGCAAAGTCAACGCACTCATCTTGGCACTTTGGTTGACTCTTCAGTCTGCGATTTTGCCACAAGTGACTGGTTTGATTCTATTCGATTGCCAGCTGCTCTCTCGACGCCCAAATGCACACCCAAGATCACGTGGGTTGCTCGCACTTGGTTCAGAGCACGCTGTGTTTCCGAACATTGAAGGGCGGGCAAGGTTGGGGTGGCGCGGCACGTGCAGAAGCCATGTACACACATGTATACTCCGTACACGGAACAAAATACCAGCACAATGCGTTGGCGAATACCATACCAGACAATACCAATTCAATAAATAACGTCGAACAGCCAGTGGTCGCAGCCAGCGCTCGCAGCCATCAGCGCGCCTGCCCGAAAACTTATGTCAATTATCTCTGATATGTGTACCAAACCTTAACGCCTCTCTCTTTACAAAACTCTTGTCTCATCTGTTTGAGCTATGGACGGTATTTTGAAAATTCACTACTGACGGATTTTTCTCTTCTCTTCATCAGAGTTGTTTTATAGAAAAGAAACAACCAGCACATGAAACCATGGTCATAGAATTGAGCTCTTAAGATTCGCTCATAAGTATAGGGTAACTCTAAAAACGGCCGGATATGCCCTCCCAACCACGACGCCAAATCTTGCCCGCTATGGATAATCCGTGAACCCTGCTGACGGCCCATCCCGATTTGTCATGTAGCCAAAGCGCTCCGGCTCCTCAAGCACAAGCGGAGGAATGTCTTTATTCTTTTCAATCTTGATAAACGTATCCTGTTGCCTCTCCCAGAGATCTCTTCCGTCACTCACGGCGGCAGCAATCTTGTCCTTGTCCCTGTACCGCTCCGCATTCATCCACCCATGAGAGAAGCTGGACATTTTGTTGAGGAACTGCTCCATGGTAGCGAAGCAACTGCTACAATGCCAGCCTGCATTGTTCAGCACTCCCTTTTCCCGGCCGCGCAACAGGGCAAAGCCACCATCCCCGTTGCGCAGATTGGTAGGCTTGAGGGTGCGCGATCCTTGGTAGTAGGTGGCCTGAGGGTGCTGCCACTCGGGTCCAGCGTGCAGAAACTGGAAAGAGTAGTAGTATAATTTGGAAGCGAGCGTGAGACGCCGGGGGTAGTTGCAGGTGCGAAGCACAAGCACGGTTTGTGGACGGGGGATCTCATCAACGTCGGCCACGATAATAACGTCGCCTTGCATCGGACTTCTTGGCCCTTCCAATGTGAGCATAACCTGCTCGTACATGGCGTCTCGCTGCAAGTCTTCGTAATCCCACGCACGGTGGGGGTGAAATGAGGCTGGGAACGCCAACTCGTGATAAATCATCTTGTCATGGTAGCGGCGGAAGTAGGCCCAGTTATGCTTGATAACGAGGGGCTTCCTGTCACCCTGAAACGTCTTGGGCGATTCCACAATGATGAAGTAGTCGACTTGGTCGTATAGTGTGTTGAGTCGGATCTCGAGAAAGTCCAGCTCCGAGTTGACCATGACGAGGTCGTATACTTTGCGCTCACTGGAGACGCTGGGCGGCGCAAACACCGGATATCCATGGGCGGCGCAGAAGTCACGCGCCGCATTGGAGGCGTAGTACTCTGTAGGCTTCTGGCTATCATGTAAAGCCGCCTTTAACAAATCTAGCGGTGTGTTTGTGACTTGGTGAAAGCTACTATGGTGTAGCGTGGGTCTGAAGAAAAGCCACCAGATGAAGGAGAGAAGTCCTATGCCGAGGATTATTTTGGCGCGCCGTCGAGCTGCCATGATCAAAGATGCACAGAGGGGTATTAGAGAAGACGCTTGGAATAAAATGTATGGCAAAATCGCCATGCTCATCCCCCTTTCATGTTGTCACGTGTTGGGATCGCCGTACGCAGCCTTGTTACGAGGTTGGGACGTGCACGGAATGGCGTATGCAGGTGCGTCATTATTATCCTACGCATCGGGCTGCGAGTAAATTACGATAACAGGGATGTGGGGGTGTAATAGTTGCCCAGATGATGCCGAGGACGAGACGTCCGGTGCAAACAATATGGTTTCGTAGGAGGCTGTTTTGGCCAGGGCTGCCGGGTGGCCAAGGGAGCAAACCTGATACCTAATGCTCGTAATAGGAGCGACCCTATGGATACTCTCGGCCACGGCACTCAAGTAGCTGGTATTATAGCAGGATATGATGCCGAAAATGGCTTTATTGGGGTACTCCCCAACGCCACTATTCATGCCTACGCCGCTGAATCCGACTTGACAACTTCTACAGAAGACACCATGATAGCAGCTTGGCTTGAAGCCTACAAGGATGGGGCACAAGTCATAGTCTCTAGTATTGACCTTTCAAGCAGTTGGGCAGAAAGGCCATCTGCTCTTGTTGTCTCGCGTATTACAGCAAGAGGCATTCCCTGCATTGTTGCTCTTGGCAATGGCCACTTGGGTCCATTCGACGCCGTGTCGCCAGGCACCGGCCGCGGCGCGGTGGCGGTGAACTCGGTGTCCCGCAGCCATGGCCGAATAACAGGCGAGTATGTCTATCGCATTAATAGCGACGCTGATATTGCCTTCGGAGTCAGGATGGGAGAGCCGCACGCCTGGGATACCGAGGAGCTCGCGGTACATGATATCGACGCCGACTACGGAGGCAATATAGACGACATGGAAGGCCCTTTGCCTGATTGCCAGCCGAGGCCGGGCGATGATGGTAAAAAAGACTTGACTGGGCGCGTAGCACTTATTCGCTACCCCGTTAGAGACGAACAGCACTGCATCTTCGAGCAAAGGGTGCTGAACGCAACGGCCCGCGGCGCGATCCACGTCCTGGCATAGTCGGGAAGAAACGCCCTTCCACTCTCTGCACCTAAAGATGCCAAGGGAATCGTCGCAATAAGCATGACAGACGCCACTGTTGGCGAAGCCTTGGTCAGAGCTCTCTCCGCTGGCATGACTGTCAGGGTGCGCCAGGTTGGTCCTCATCGCATCACAACAGGCAGCATTGCCAAGTTATCATCATACGGGCCAACTTATACCCTTGACATTAAACCCAGCGTGCTTGCACCGGGGGATGATGTGCGTTCCACGTTATACGGCGGTGGTTATGGAGGAGTGGCGGGCACGTCCTTTGCCGCGCCGCTCGTCGCCGGCATCTACGCTCTTGTTGGCGAGGCGCGAGGCACGTTTGACCCAGCTATTCTTGACAGCGTTATTATGGGAACGGCCGAGCCGCAATTCTCGAGTCACAGTCATTACTCTGAGGGCGCCCATGACTTCTTGAGTGTCGCGCAGCAGGGCGCAGACCTTGTCAAGTCCTGGGAAGCTGCTCACGCCACAACGCTTGTCGCTCCAGCTAGTTTCGCCTTCAATGATACGACTAATCGTGTTTCTTCCATTACCCTTTCTATTAAGAATACGGCTGATACTACGGTCCAATACCAACTTACACATATCTCAGCCAAAACTCTCTATACTCTGGATCAGAATTATACTACCAGAGGCACTGAAGAGATTGATGCTCCAGTCCAAATCTCCTTGAGTGAAGATACTATCACGCTTAGTTCTGGAGAGTCTGATACTATTATTATCTCTGCCTCGGATCCTCAAGGGGTAGACCTTGAGCGTTTACCCCTATGGTCTGGCTGGATTGCTATTAATGGATCGGATAGCACTCGGTTAACGGTACCGTATCTCGGTCTTGCGGGGTCACTCCGCGGCGCTCCTGTTTTCACACCAGGGATCAAGTCGGTATTGGCTCGTGGAAGATTTTATGAGGGTAATGTTGGCGAGGGCTCTACCGTGCTTTTAAGGGGCCCTCCAGATACCACAGTCCAGCATACTGGCTTGTCACGTCGCTCTAGGGCCCGGGTGATACTGACCCATTTCGTCCTGGCTCTTGGCTCACCTGAGGCTCAGATCTATGTTGTCCTTCTTGATATTTGTCCCGATGCCGAAATAAAGCCAATAGCTCTAGAGCTAGACCTTAAGAGAAGTTGCGTTCCCAAGACTAGCATTATACAGGTAGGCGAATTTCAGACTATTGGTCAGATTGCCAACTCTCCTTTCCGCTATATTGGCGGCCGTTCTATGAAGGAACTTTGGGATGGCTCTCTTTCATCAGGCCAATTTGCTCCTCCTGGTAGATACAAGCTTATGGCTCGAGCTTTATCTATCCAAGGAGATAGGAATATTCCATCTGACTGGCAGGTCGCTGAGACGACAGAGTTTGTTGTGGCGTATGAAGGTACAGGTAGCGCAGGCTCCGCTTAGTCTATTCTCTACAGTCTATCTTTTACATTCTTAACAAATGGTGTAAGGGTGTCACATGGTAGGGCCAACACCGGTTACACAGGATAATCAAGAGACCAAGATAGAGATGTCAGTCGTCTGTTGCCTTGGCCTTGAAGCCTAACCATGTTTTTGTCTTCATAAGAGACTATTAGTGTAAATATTCTCACAAAAACAAGGGGCCTTGAAGAACAAATAGGATTCTTATTCCACTTAAGGGGCGTTTATTCAGTGAGAAATCAGCTTCTTGGTGACCTTATCTAGCACGTCTAGCGATTACAACACGCATAGCTGAGTTTCTAGGTGTGGCAACTGACGACGTTGACTCTGCTAAGCCAGTTTCACGATACGGTGTGGATAGTTTAGTAGCAGGAGAGTTGAGGAACTGGTTGATCAAGACATTTGGTCTGCAACTGACAATGCTTCAGTTGTTGAATAAAAAGGCAAAGATTGAAGATTTAGCAATGGACGCTGCTGGAGTTGAGGCCTAGTAAATTAAATAAGACTGAAGATATATTCTATATAACAATTAATGTATAAGTTTAGATTCTTCTAATAAGCAACCCTCCTTCTATAAACGATAAAGTAATATGCAATGCCCAGGTAGCGCCGAGATGCGTGTACACAAAATAGCAAAAGAGCAGCCTGCGATATTATACTGCTACCAAAATCGAACAAGACCACGCAAGTAATTTCACCCCAACAGACTAGTTCAACTTCACCAAAGTAGACATGGATGCAATCTTCTCGCACAACGCCGTGATAGACACGTTGGAAAGAACATCAAACACCGTCAGCTTAGCGTCCAGCGTCTTGAACATCCACTTGACCGTTTCCACGGCCACCAAGGAATCTACACCGTACGAGTGCAGTGGCCGGGAGGGATCAATTTCCGCCACGGAGCTCTGAAGGGTCCTTGCCACGCGCTCAAGAAGCACCGTCTGGACGGCGGCGGCGGCTTCAGCCACGGAATGAGCCTGAGAAAGCTGCGTTCGCACAGAAACCTTGCCGGCATCGGCGTCACCAGACCCAGCTGCAGACGAGGCACCGGCCGAGGTACGTGTCTGGGCCAGGATGGAGAAACGGGCATCATCAAAGTAGAACGGCGTGCTTATACCGGCTGCCTGCGCAGACCGGGCCGTGGCCAGGCCGGTTGGGATCTGCACCACGGAGCGTTCAGTCAGGGGCTGTGTCGTCGACATGATGGCTGACTTGATGAGCGCATGGAACTCGGGCTCGCGGATTCCAAACGGCTCCTCCCACTCGCGGAGATAGTCGGTGATGCCGTTCTCGGCGAGAACACCCACGTCTCGCATGATGCCCAAGTCGATGGTGATGGCCCTCTGGCCCAGAGACTGCCGATGGTGTGCCATGGCATCCTCGTACGCGCCCGCAGCGGCGTAGTTGCTCTGCCCACGGCTTCCAAAGACGCCCGCAAAGGAACTCAGCGTGATGAAAAAGTCGGACACTGGGATCTGCTCGTGCAGGTTCCACGTGCCCTGCACCTTGGGCCGCGTGCTTTCGGTCCACTGATCGTGAGCCATCCTCTCAAAGAGACCGTCACGGAGGACCATGGCACACTGAATGACACCCCGGATAGGCCCAAGAGCCGCCCGGCATTGCTGGACGACGCGGGATACGGTGTCGGCGTCGGACACGTCCCCTTTGCAGACGAGGACGCGCACTCGATGCTGCATCTCGAGTTCCTTGACGAGGGCGCGCGCCTCGCTGCTTGCTGCGCCGGAGCGAGAGAAGAAGCACAGCCGGCGCGCCCCAAGCTGCACCAAGAGCCGTGCAAGACTCCGGCCCAGGCCGCCGAGTCCTCCGACGAGGAGGTAGGTGCCAGAGTCACTTAGGCTGAGGTCCGGTCTGACGACGGGGACAACATCTCCCGCCTGGAATGTCAGCACGAGCTTCCCCAGGTGCTGGCCCGTTTGAATCTTGCGGAATGCCGCTTCCACCTGAGACGCGGGATACGAGGTGAGCGGCGTCGCGGGCTTGAGAGCGCCGGAACGTACAAGGGCCATTGTCTCTCGGAGAGCCTCTCCCATGAGGTCTGGCCGCTCCTTTTGGACACGGTTCAGGTTGAAGAAGACAAACGTGGCATCCTGGAGGAAGGGCTTCATGTCCAGGCGTGCGTTGTCCAAGATGTCCTTCATGCCGAGCTCGACAAAGGTGCCAAAGGGGGCCAGGCAGTGCCACGTCTGCCGGAGAGCTTCCCCGGCAAGCGAATTGACAACAATATCGACTCCGCGGCCTTTGGTCATGCGCTTCACGCCCATGGCAAAGCTGGCGTCTCGCGAGTTGAAGATGTGGTCGTGGGGAACCCCGTACGTTTCGTGCACAAGCTTCCTCTTCTCCTCGGAACCAACCGTCGCGAAAACCTGTAGTCCTAGATGTCGAGCAAGCATGAGGACGGCCTGGCCAACACCACCTGCGGCAGCGTGAACGAGGACTGACTGGCCGGCTGTTGCGCGCGCCGACTTGACGAGTGCGTACCAAGCTGTCGTGTGGACGAGGAGAATGGCCGCGCCCTCTTCAAAGCTCATGGTATCAGGCATAGGCATAGCGTAGTCGGCACGTACGCGATGGACTGTCCGGTGTGCTCCGTGAGCGAGGAAGACGACTCGGTCTCCCGGGCGGAGGCGCGTCTCTGAAGCATGTACACGGCGAACGACACCAGCGCCCTCGAACCCGAATGCCCGGTCCGGGATCTGTCCCAAGGCGACCATGACATCTCGGAAGCTGCACAATGTTAGTAATGGGAACCATGGTGGGATAATCAGTGACACTTTGAACTTCTGGGGAGACTCACTTGACTCCGGAGGCCTTGACGTCGACTTCCACTTCGCCTGCTTCCAGGGGCTCCAAAGCCAACAAATCGGGCTCAAAGCAAACAGAGTCCAGCATGCCAATCTGGCGCATGCACAGCTTCAGTCCTTCTGGCTTCTCCTGTAGCGTAGTCGCAACCGCGGCCTTTTCTCCCTGGCCCAGCAGCTGCGCAATCTCCTTGTTTCGGGCCTCATCCTCGACCAGGCGGCTGACAAGCAGCGCGTCTGAATGCCACCGAAACTCTGTATCGGGACCACTATACCGGAAGACACGAGTGACCAGGTCGGCGTAGCTGTCTGCCCCGGGGCCAGGCAGATCAGTCACCTCAAGCGTGCGTATATGGACGTCAGCCGCCTCGTTGCAAACGCTGCGAGACAGGCCCGTGATCAGAGCAGCATCGGGCCCCAGGGGACCACTCACCCAGAGGGTGCTCTCGGCATTCGAAAACAGCGACTGCAGGGCCGCGAGATCCTCTGGTGCCGGGTCCTTGAGAAGCGCAGACTCCAAGTCCGTCAGGACGATGCAAGGCTGGCCCTTGAGCTGCGACACGTCGGAGCCCCAACGGACGCGCTTTGTGGGAATCGACGCCTTCTCAAGATTCTGGGCCACGGCTGCCGCGATAGCTTGGGCCGTGGCAGATGCATTGGCGGATTCTATGAGGGTGACTTGCTGCGGCTGGCGATTGTCACTGTTGGCCGACTCGGCGGCATTGCCTGTGAGACTCAGGCGGAAGTGTCCGTGAACGGCGGACTCTGTGTCCATGTCAATGAGTTTGAGAGCAGGCGTCAGTCCCGAGCGCGCGAGACACGATGTCCAGCTGCTGCTGCTCTGGGCAACGTCTAGGTTTCTGCAGAAGAGCAATGTTAGCAACCTCCTTTTGAATATGGCTCCGACCGCAGCCAGCCGAAGCCAACAAGAACAAAAGCGTCCAGATGTCATTACAAGTACGTACCTTGTCCACTGAAGACAGCCCAGTGCTGTGCCCAAGTAGAGCCCAGGCTCGCCGACTTCTGCGACGATGATCCTGCCCCCTGGGTTCAACAGCTTGCGCGCGTTGCGCAAAACGACCTCTAGCTTTGCGTGTATGAAGCCAGGGTCAAATATGAGAATGACATCGTGCTTTCCCAAGGCCTCGTCGAGTTTCTTTGTAAAGTCTGCAGCGGAGACTTCAATGTCGGAAGCCTGAGACCCAAACTGGGCCCTGACGCGGTCGGCGACGCCCTCTTGCGATACTCTAATAGCGTACTGCGCTGTCTGGAGAATCTTATGTCGACTGGGCAGAGCTGCGAAGACAGAGTATGGCACCGAGTCCAGGCTCAGCTCAAGAATCGACAGGTCGGGCTTGGCATGATGGCGAAGGTCGATATACTACGTCGTGTATTAGCACCCTGCACTTGGCGTCTTGCATGCGGCATAGAAACATGAAACTTGTACTTACTGCGTCGAGTGACTTTAATAGAATGGACAGAGCGCCGTTTTGCTCCACCTCTCTCAACATCTTGTCTTGTTGTTCTGGTGATGGAATGCTTCCTTCTCGCACTGCGGTCAAGGCGTCTCTCATTGCGAGCATGTCACCGCCGGGGGATGGACGTTTGGATGATGAAGCAGCCCCATTCGTGAGTTTTGCAGACTTGGCCGACAGCCAGTCAGACAAGTTTGCCATGGCAGGATCCACGGCAACACGAGGTAAAGTTTCTTCAAGGTGATGGACATGATTGTTCAGCTCTGTGGCGCGGGCGACGTTGGACGCACCCTCCTGCTTGACACAATGGTCAAGATATGTCCGTAGCTGCTCACCGGTCAGCAAGTCGATTGCCGGCTTCCACTCGAGACGGAAGCCAATCGGCCGACTCTCTGCTGACGCCGCCTCCGACTCGGTCATGCGCCCCCCGGATACGTCGGCGCAACGGAACCCCTTGATTTGCACAAGTGCTCTGCTGTTTTGGTCATCCAGCATGTCAATGTCGGAGATGAGCTCTCTGAAGCCGTGAGGAGAGGAGCGCGAGACTCCGCGAAGCAGAGTGCCAGGGGTGTTTGGTGTGTCTGCTGCCACGACCAGCTCGTCGATTGTCGTTGGGACCATGGGGCCCGGAAGCAACGAGTCCTCGAGCGCCGCAAAGGCAAGGTGGAAGACGGCATCCAACGTCCCCGGATGGATGACGTGAGGATGGCTGCGGTATGCGGGCGGCACGAGGCTGTCCACGGCCGGAATACGGACGGCGCCGATACACTGGCCCTGGCCCGTTCTCCGAATCTCCGTCACGTTTGCAAAGGTTGGCCCGTAAACAAGGCCAAGAGAAGCAAGGCGCGAGTAGAACTTGCCCACGTCGACAGACTGCTGGCAAGAGACGTACGTTTTCTTGTACCAGTCACAAACCATGTCCGACTCCAGGGCACGCTCGCGGTCCATGGCCGAGTCTGCGTCGGCGGCATACTCGATCATGATGAGGCCGGAGCAGTTCTGACGCAAATCGCCGCCGTCAATAGATGAATTGACGGTAAACTCCATCCAGGACGACTGGCTGCTGCCCGGCGCGAGAAGATGCGGTCGGAGTTGCAGAATGGCCTCGGCGGTGCTGTCCTCGGTCACCACCAAGGCGGCGTCGAGGTGCACGTCGCGCAGTCGGAATGCGCTTACTTTGCGCTGCTCGCCTGCATGCTGTGAAGCCGCTTCGATGGCCATGATCAAGAAGCCGGCCCCGGGATACAGGATGGACCCCTGAATCTCGTGGTCCCGGATCCAGGGCTCCTCCTCCAGCCTCACCATGCCGCGCCAGTATCTCTCGCGGGCGCCCATCGTGGGACACGGGCTTCCCAACAGCGGCAGGCGGGCGTGCTTGCGCAGCCGATACTCTCGGGAAAGACGCGACTCGGCCCAGAATCGAGTCGAGCGGTTCCAGGGATAGGGGGGCAGGTCGACCAACGGACTCGGCTGCGGCCCGGACTCCAAGTTTACGCGAGACATGGCGACGGGCACACTCGACAGGACGAGCTCGCCGGCGCACGCCAGAGCCGTCTTTACGGCGCTCTGTCCCCGGGAGAGGACACTCGTGTACTTGAGCGCGGACACGCCCTGGGCCTGGAGGATCTGCTGGACGGGCCCCTTGAGCGCGGCGTGCGGCCCAATCTCGACGAGCACATCGACGGCCGGCTTGTCCCCGTCGGAGAGGAGGCTCGACACGGCTTCGGAGAAGCGCACCGGGGAGACGAGGTTTTGCACCCAGTTGGAAGCGCCGAGCTCCGCGGCGTCGATGACACGGCCCAAGACGCTCGAGTGCATGGTGCGCCCCGGACGCGCCGGCAGCGGCGCAAGATCCTTGAGGAGCTCAGCGTACGCGGAAGAAACCGACTGCATGTGGTGAGAGTGATAGGCCACGTCCACCTGCAGCTTGCGCCCAAACACGCCGGCCTCTTGGACCATGGCGAGAAGCTCGTCGATGCCCGCGGCGTCCCCGGATGCCGTGACGCTGGTCGGCGAGTTGATGCAGGCGACGACGACTCGTCCCCGGGTCAGCTTGGCCAGCCACGCCTCGACCTCTTCGGGGGAAGCCCCGACGGCCATCATGGCCCCCCTGCGATCCCCGTGCGTCTGCTGCATCTCCGAGGACAGGATCCCGCGGTAGTAGGCCACCCGCAGACTGTCGTGCTTGGTCAGGGCGCCCAGGCAGTACGCGGCGGCGATCTCGCCGCTCGAGTGCCCGGCCACGCGCGCGGGACAGACGTTCCAGTCCTCGAGCAGGTCGACGGTGGCGATTTGGAGAACCGTGCAGAGCGTCTGGCTGTAGGCCGCCTCGGAGAGCCGCGACGTGGCCTGCGGCTTGGCCAGCTCGTCGACGGCAGACCAGGGGCACCCGAGGGCGCTGCGCAGGAACTCGTCCGACGCCTCGACGCTCTGGCGGAACACGGGGTACGCCATCAGCTCGACGCCCATGCGAGCCCACTGCGCGCCCTGGCCGGTGAAGATGAAGCCGAGCCGGGGGGCCGAGGCGGCGACGCGAGTCTCGGGAGCCGCCCACGCGCCGCCCTCTTGCTGGAGCGCCTGGAGCAGCTCCGAGGGCGTGGAGGCTGTGGCGTACGTCTGCCATTGGAGATGGGACCGTCGACTGGCCAGGGTGAAGGCCAGATTGTGTAGGTATGCGCCGCCGTCTCTCGAGTCCTGCGGCCACGACTTGAGGAGCTGCTCGAGATGCTGGGCCAGCGACGAGCGGACGCGCCCCAGGCCCTCGCGATCGTTTGCGCGGAACAGAAATAGCCGTGGCGGCTGGTCATTTGGCACGGCTTCATGCATTGCCGAAGTCAAAAGTCTCCGTGTCTGGGGATGTGTGCGGGTGTAGTGGTGGCCCCTGAGTTTGCGTGCCTCGAGATAATGGGCCGCGTCGTCGAGGATCAGATGCGCGTTTGTACCGCCATATCCAAAACCCTGGGTGCTGAGCCGCCGCAGGCCTTCGGTCGGCCAAATTGTTTGTGTCGCAGGCACCTTGAGATGCCATTCCTCCCAGCGGATCTTGGGATTCAGGACGCGGACGCTCGGCGTCGGGGGTATCACGCCCGTTTCCAGGATGTAGACGCACTTTATGAGCGAGGCCAGTCCCGCGCAGGCTTCGAGATGCCCGATATTTGCCTTGACTGATCCCACCAGCAGCTCGTCCGACGCCGTGCGGTGCTGGCTGAATGTGCGGGCAATGCCTTCCATCTCACGCGTGTCGCCGGCCTGGGTGCCCGTTCCGTGAGCCTCGACGTAGCGCGTCTCCGCAAGCGAGAGGCCGGCGTTGCGGTACGTTTCTGCAATGAGGGAGGCTTGCGCCTCGACGCTGGGGATGGTGAAGCCCTTTGTATGGCCGTCCTGGTTGCATCCGCTGCCACGGATGACGGCGCGGATCGGGTCGCCGTCGCGGAGGGCGTCGGCAACTCGCTTCAGGATGACGACGCCGATGCCGTCGCCCCTGGCGTAGCCGTCGCCCGACTCGTCAAAGCTCTTGCACTGGCCGTCGGGGGCCAGAAACTGCTGGTTGGAGAGGTACAGGAACATGTCGGGGTTCAGCAGCAGGCTGGTGCCGCCGACAATGGCGCTCTCCGTCTCGCCGCTCCATAGGCTCTGGCAGGCGAGATGGCAGGCGACCAGACTGGACGAGCAGGCCGTGTTGACGGTGAAGCTGGGCCCGCGCAGGTCGAAGAACCACGAGACGCGGTTCGAGGTCGACGTGTTGCTGGTGCCCGTTGCGGTGTACAGAGGCGCCGTCTCGGCATCGCGGTACAGCATCTCCCGGTAGTCGCTTGTGAAGCTGGCCATGAAGACGCCCGTCCGCGAGCCCGCGAGCTCGTCGACGCGGAGGCCGGCGCTCTCCATGGACTCGTACGTCACCTCCATGATGATGCGCTGCTGGGGGTCCATGGACTCGGCCTCGACCTTGGAGAGGTTGAAGAAGTTGGCGTCGAAGGCGGCCACATCTTGCTTCATAAAATGCCCTCCCCGGGGCAGACTGGTGTTGATCTTTTTCTCACCGTAGTGAAAAGCATCCGGCGTCCACCGATCCGGATTCTCAGAGTATGCATCTGTCTTGTGGTCAGTGGCAGGGTCCAGCATGAGGCATGGCGGCACGGTACATACTACGTCCATTGCAGATGAAATCCCAAAAGTGCTCGGCGGTATCTGCTTCGCCCGGGAAGCGGCACGACAAGCCGACGACGGCAATGTCGTCTCTTGATGGTGCTGGCGCTTGCATGGTGCACGTCCGTACCGAACGGACTGTGTGCAAGGTCACAATGAATAATGTTTGCAAATACTAGGCAATACAAGGGAAGACGAGGGTGATGAAGAGGAGAGTGATGCAAGTCGGAGACTGCTGAACTTGAAGATATACCCATCAACAATCAAGGCGCTCCCAGCAGCACCCGCGACTTTTATTTGAGCCAGCCATGTCTCGCAGGTCGTGCCTATCGTGCACATCGCCAATCCACAGGGTCCATAGCGTGCACATGGTCCTCATGGTTCCATCAATTGATGTCCGTCGGTGGCCCGGACAGATGTCGCACGGCCACGGCCCCGCCTCGACGCTGCGTCCGTGAGCCGGTGGCGTGTAAGCAAGAGGCTCCGACGAGATGAAAACAGGCACGGGGCATTCCATGTTCCCGAGGCCCGGCTGAAAAAGCTGGAGCCTCCAAAAACTCGCCGTCGGCATTTCATGGGGCCCAAACACTCAGGTAATGCTCGTTTCAGGTCGATCATGGTGTGCGGCGAGTCGCCCGCCGCCTTGTCACGCCCGGGGTGCATTGTTCAAACGTCGCGTCGAATGTCTAATTTTGGCACTCTTGGGAAGAAATACCAGTTCCAGTCGACATGCATTCTTGCGAGTTGTCAACATGTATAATGTCGAGGCCATGTGCCAGCCCCCGGCCCTGACAACTTGCAAGAATCATCAATACCTTCCCTCCTTGCCCATTTGCCTCAACATCATTCATTCACATACATCCTTTCGCCATGGCCGTCACCGTGTGGCAAGATGCGCTCAACATCATTGCGCAGGAGAGCGGGCTGGAGCCCGCAGAAATCATCGAGACGGAGGACACGGCGTTTCTCACGCTCGGCATCAATCAGATCCTCGCCACGGCCATCCTGGCGCACCTGAGAGGGCCTCGTGGAGAGCCTCTCCCACGAGACATCTTTGACCAGAAGCCCACGGTTGGTGCGTTCCGCCGCTTCTACGAGACCCCTATTCACCTGGACATTGCTCCCGTCGCGGCACCCGCGCCGCCCAAGCTGAAGCGCGTGCCGTCGTCCTCTGTCCCGCTGTCCATCGTCTTGCAAAACAACCCGGCGTCGAGCCGGCACACGGTGTTCCTCCTCCCGGACGGCAGCGGCTCGGCCATGGCCTACGCCAACCTCCCGCCCGTCCACCCGGCCGTCTGCATCGTCGGCATGAACAGCCCGTACCTGCGCGACGCCGGCTCGTACCGCTGCTCCGTGGAAGACCTGGCATCGCAATGGGTCCGTGAAGTCTACCGCCGCCAACCACGGGGGCCGTACATTGTCGGCGGGTGGTCGGCCGGAGGCTACTACTCGTACGAGGTGGCCAAGCGCCTCCTGCAGGACGGACACGCCGTCGCCAAGCTGATCCTGATCGACTCGCCGTGCCGCACCGTCTTTGAGTCCCTGTCCATGGACGTCGTCAACTACCTCTCCTCTCGAAACCTCATGGGCAACTGGGGCTCTCCGGAGATGCCCGAGTGGCTGGTGCAGCATTTCCGCTCGACGCTGGCCGCCGTGGGCAAGTACCGCCCGCGGCCCATCGGCTCGGCTGGCAAGATGCAGACGTACATCATCTGGAGCCGAGACGGCGTGCTGGATCACGACGCGCTGGCCAGGTCTGGACTCGACACGAGCGTCAAGGTGTCCCGATTTCTGCTGCAGGGCAAGGATGACCTGGGGCCGAATGGATGGGACGACCTGCTGCCCAGCAAGGACATGGCTATTGCGACGCAATCGGGGACGCACTTCACCATGATTAACAAGCCTCATGTAAGTATTTTGACACGTGGCCCAAAAATGTATTTCTGCTAAGTGAAGTTGCAGGTGGCGCAGATGAGCGATCTCTTGCGTGATGCCGTGATTGGCATCGGCTCTGACCGACAGTCGCACTGGCAGCGAGTGAGCGAGTCATGATATAAGTGTGTGTGTTAGATCTTGAGGGTTTTTAATAAGCATGGTTAATGTAGACATAGATTCAAGTCCGGCGGGCCGGCAGGAGCCTACATATGTAGGATTGCAGTTTTATAGAGCAGCACTGAGTAGACGCGTGTTGGATGAGAGCACTGAAAACGCAGAGAGTTTATCAGAATATCGAACCAGACATTACTGTTGAGTTTAGAGCAATATGCGTGGGGAGGCCCCTTAGGACCTTAATTGATAGCTTTTTATTGATGATGATAATGATGGAATTGAGTTGATTGATGAAATCCTGCAAATTTGACCCCTTTTCTAACCGGTCGGGGGGCCCTGCAAGCCCCTTGGGACCCCTGACGATACATGTAACCTCAATTTTGGCCCTTTTTGACTCAACAATTACTTGATGCCAACTATGCATAACGCAGTAAAACCGCGCCATGTCGTCTCAGCTGTTTGAATATTGTTGTAGACAGGAATTTTGCTATTCAGTGCTTCGCTACTACTCTATGGCAATTCTCTTTTGCAGATTCTCTGCCGACTCTATCAAACTTTGCAACGGCTGTCCAAAAAGGCCCTGCCCTCCTCCTGGGGGCTCTAAAACTGAAAATAGCCGGCTACAACCCGGACTTGATAGAGACGACGGTGATGGTTCAGGGGTGTGCAACTCGAACGCAGGGGGCAGCCCGCCGGGCCGGTTCATTGGAGAGGTGCGCTCTTGAATTTCAGCCAGGATATCAACGACAGAGTCCATGCTGCGCAAGAGCAGAGTGCGCATAATGGCTTGGGATTCGCCCCGGGCCAGCTCGTAAGCCACGGGCATTTGACACGAGCCATTCACGGGGGTCGCCTGGAGAGAAAAGGCAACCTGGCCGCTCAGATCCAGATTGTTGCTTATCCATTCCATTATGGGCAGTACCATGCGGATCTCGACGATGCACAGGAGGAGCGTGTCGCTGTCAGCCGATTCCATGCAGGTGGTGCACTGTAAATGGCGCTTCCATGCCGACACGCCCTCGCGGACCTGCGAGATGGCCACGGCTGCCTGTAGGGGACCACCACGTCGGGCGTGGACTTTAAGCTGCACAAACAGAGCCGCCAGTTGTTGCAGGCAGTCGCAAGACGCACATGGCTGTCGACAGCGGGAAGAGGACAAGGGGCTGCGTAGGTGGTGGACATCTTCAAAGTCGAATGCTCGAAGCGGTTGCCTCTGCGGAACGGGCAGTGCCACAGATGGAGGCAGAGAGTATTGCGATGAATTCGCGGTGTAGATGAGCCCCGTGGCGCTGGAGGTATCATCTACGTCGGCAGACCTTGGATCTAAACAACCCATCTGTTTGAAGTCAGAGGCCGAGCATATATAAAGCATCCAAACACACATACCAGCAGGGCATCCATCTGATGCGCATGGAAGCCCCTCCATTCGGGGGCGTTGATTTCCATGTCTGTTGGGAGATGGCACGGAGAGGAAGACGCCGTGGAATCGGCCGACGTGGATGCTGCAGGCGTCGAGCTCAAGCTGGAAGCGGGCGGCTCGCCATCAGCGCCGGCGGCTTCCCGCATGTGTGCTCGCAGGCGTTGGCGTGTCACCTTGTTCTTGATGCCTCGGGGCCGTCCGGTGCGGTTTGACGAGCTGTAGTGGCAGCGCGCGCCCAACTTGTGGCATCCGCTGCACGGATTCCCACCACTGCACTTGACTTTGCTCTGGTGGCACGAGTCGCAGGCTGATCGCATCCTGCACGAGGACGGGCTCCGGGACTGCTGCATGTCCTGCTTGATGTCGGTCATCTGTGTTGATTCGGGGTTGGTGGTAGTGCGGTTGGAATTTGGAGCCTTGACGCGATGATGCCCATGGTGATGAATCAAAAGGCGGGTCCAAGGTATTTTAGGAGACGGGTTGACATGGAAGCAATCGACCAGACGCCAAGAGTGACAGACGTGGAGGCATCTGCGACGGCCCACAACATGCCATGCATCTTGCTGCAGCTGCGAGATGGAAGATCGTCGGCATGGGTCGCAGACAGGGATTGTGGAAGCCACCACATGTCGGGTGCGTGTTGTTTGGCCGTGCACTCGACATTTGAACTGAGTGATGCGTCCACGATGCGCAAGACTGGGACTCCGGCGTGACGTGGGGCGTGACGTGGGGCGTGACGTGGGGCGTGTGACTGGGGCGTGGGGTGGGGCGGCCCTACCCGAGACCAGGATGCCTGGCCAGGCACAGATCGTTGCCGACATGCAAAACACGCAGAAACATGGACCTTGGCCCCCACAAGATACCACGGCCCAGTGTTTCATAGATAGGGCTCCCGACATGAAGACTCTTTGTGCTCGGATGGCGCTAATTTGGGCGAGATGAAGCCCCGGCTTTATATCAACTGATATGTATACCGTCGATTCACCGTACTTACCACAGCACGTTATCGTGTAGTGCCGCCCTGTTCAGCCGCAAGACTGCCACTCCTCAACAACAGCCAACGGCCTGGCGAGCCGTAACAACAAAAGGCCATCGTCGACAGCATCACTTGTCAACATGTCGGCACAGGTCCTTCCCAGCGAGCCGGCCCTCGCTGGGGGGCAGATGGAGATGCCGCCGCCTGAGGTGAAGAAGTTCCTGGGAGGCATTCCAACGCCCACGCTCGACGTTCCCGTCACAATCGTCTTTCTCGTCCTGTTTTCCCTGGGCGCCTACTTGCACATCAGCGTCTACAAGGCCAACGCCAAGCGCGGCCACAAGTTCCTCCTTTCGAGTCTCATGTTCGACTTCTGCATGGTCCGAGTCACCACCTGCCTCTTTCGCATTCTCTGGGCCTTTATCGGCCTCCAGGCGCCCGGCATCGTCCTGGTCGCCAATGTCTTCCAAAACGGCGGGTAAGTCTTTATCAATCCATCTCCCGCCATCTCCTATAGCACCAGACTGATCGCCATGCGTCTCAGCGCCGTCGTCGTCTTCGCCGTCAACCTCTTTTTTGCGCAGCGCCTCATTCGAGCCATGCATCCTTCCATCGGCTGGCACCCCGTCTTCAGCCGCTACTCCCTGTTCCTGATCTGGACCTGCCCGGCCGTGACCATCATGAACATTATTGCTGTTTGCGTCAACTTCCTGGTACCCGCCCGGGCGCAAGGGGCTGAGACGGTGCTGCAAGTAGGCGCCTGCTGGAACATGATGCTGGTTGTCACGCCTCTCTTGTGGCTGTTCATCGCGAGCGCCAAGCCGGGCCCGACGCCCGAGAACTTTGGCACTGGTGACTTCCGCGCCAAAGCAAGTTTGCTCGTCTTTAGTGCCTCCGTCATGACGGTTGGAGCCGCCGTGAGGTTAACCATAGCCTTCAACCACAACGGCCCCGAGCAGCTGTTCAGCAAAGCCTCGCTGTACACTACGCAGTTTATTCTCGAGTACTTGGTGGTCGCCGCATACGCCTTCTTCCGCATTGATCAAATCTATCACATTCCCAATGGGTCAAGTGGACCGGGAGACTACTCTTGGAATGGGTGCCCCAAGCGTGGGTTATGGACGCCAGAGGACATTGAAAGAGAAATTGGCAAGCTTGGTGTCCGCTACGATATTCTCACCTCTAGAGGCATGAACAAGAAGGGGCCTGTATTTGCGTTGCTGTACCCGGCCTGCAGTGAGCAGCCTTTTGCCCACGACAACAAGGACTTACCACAAGTGCCTCCAGAGTACGTGGATGGCTTTCTCCCTCCGAGGCCTCGAAGGGTGAGCCGCATGGACATTCTTACTGGTAGCTATTCCCCCGAGCGACCTCCGCGGTCGAAAAGGACGACCATGTTTATGACCAAGGACGTGGAGTTGACTCCAACAATAACATCTTCACCATACCAGAAATTTTACGATTAGACGTATACTTTGCAGTAAAAAATAGAAGCGGTATATAATTTCTAGTTGAAGAGTTGGGGGATTTTTTTAAATGTAGCCCAAAGTTGTATTAATCACTAATTAGCATTGTTTGGATGTGAAAACAATTACACATGGCATCACTTCATTTTAAATCACAATTCTAGTCATACGCCGCGTGCTCTTCTGATGTATTGGCATGAGCGTAAAAAGAATATACGCTACGACGATGCCTCTAATGCCACACAGTCACCTCAGTGTATCCAGGGTCATGATTTCTCGGATATTGCGCATCCGGGCTCAGCTCAATGTGTGACACAAGCCACAGAACCCCAACCGCAGTCTTGTTTACATTTTGGCGCATCCCCAAGCACAACATTGAACAGCAAGACCCGGACGTCGCCGGCACCAAGGAACACCATGGACCTTGGATGTGCCGTCGAACAAACAACATTTCAGGTGCCAGGCCAGTGCGCGCGACGACGAACCAGGGGGCATGAATTCAGGTTGTGTATGACGGGAACGACACGCTAGTGGTGCTGAAGAAGCTCGAAAGCAGGCTTGAGATGCTCTGTTGGGCAAACCAACCCATTTAAATAACGGTGGCTTGGAATGTTTGTGGGACAAGCGGTTGCTGGCTGACCTGAATCAAACCAGACCAGATTGGCTTTTCGCATGGGCGAAAGCTTGTTCACAGGGGGCGTGCCTTTATCAATCCAGTCGATCCCATCCGAACCAAAAGCCTCCGAAAACAACAATTGAACGCCGATGTGTCCCGGGGACGGGGGGTGGGACTTGGCTCCGAACACCCACGGACACCAAGCATTTCGCGAAGAAACGACATGGGCCGCCACGAACAAATAGGGGTTCAAATGGTGTAGGCGTTTATTTTATTTATTAATTTTTTTTTCCTCTTGGGATTACAGGCCATGAGGAGAAACAGCAGCTCTGAACCGGCTCCCTAGATTTCGCCACAAACCATGCCCCTGGACATTGCCATTATCGGCGCGGGCATCGCCGGGTTGACCGCCGCCGTGTCCCTCCGCCGCAGTGGCCATCGTGTTCAGGTAGGTGGGCATGGGCTTTCATTTTTAAAGACAATGACAGCTGACGATTCTCACTGCGGCAGATTTACGAAGCATCAGCCTTTTCTGGCGAGATTGGCGCAGCCTTGAACCTGACGCCAAATGGCGTCCAGGTACTCCAACATCTCGGGTTTGACTTTGAACGGGCCAAGGCCGTCCAGATGGTCAACTGGGACACCGTCAGTGGCATAGACCTTGGCAGAATCGCCTGCCAAGATTTGCACGCCGCCGCCGACAAGTTTGGCGCTCCCTTCTTCGCCGTTCACCGGGTGGACTTGCACGGGGAGCTCATGAGGCTGGCCAACGTCTCCGAGGCGCGAGGGCCAGCAACGGGCCAGCAAGCAGACGGCATCCTGCTTCAGCTTGCCTCGCCCGTGACAAGGGTGGACGCCGAGGAGGGGCGGATTGAGTTTGCAGACGGGACCGTCAGGCATGCCGACCTCGTCGTGGGCGCCGACGGCCTGCGTTCTGTCGTGCGCGATGCAGTGGCTCGCGGCGCCGGCGTTGGTGAGCCCGTTGGCCTCGTGGCGACGGGCCAGAGCGCTTTTCGCTTTCTCGTCCCGACCGAGGACCTGCAGGCCACTGCGTCTGGGCGCAAGCTGCTGGCGTGGAAGACCCCTGGTGCCTGCTTGCTGGCCGACACCAAGCTTGTGGACAAGGAGCGGCACATCATGTGGTATCCCTGTCGAGAGTAGGTCGTATGTGACGGTGAATATTGTGGTACAGAGGCTGATTGTGATGAATCCAGTGGCGCTGTTCAGAACTTTGTAGGGATACATCCGTCTCTGGACACGTCGGAAGCGGATGCGGCCCCAGATGTGCAGGCTCAGATGTTGCGACAGTTTGGGCATTTCGACGCAGATGTTGTACAGATTCTCAGGTAACCTGCTCTTATACCTATATGCAGCCATTGTCCCGCAATATTGACCGACCAATCTACTATTGCTAGGGACGCCAAGGACACCAAGTGCTGGCCGCTCTTCTCGATGAAGCCGCTTTCATCCTGGACATTTGGCAAAGCCGTATTGATTGGCGACGCTGCTCATCCGGTAAGAGTGTCAGGTTTCATGAATAGCCATAGTCTACGTCTCTGACTTGGAACTTGTTTCCAGATGCTTCCATTCGGCGGGCAGGGCTCCAACCAAGCCATCGAGGACGGCGGCGTCTTGGGTCGTGTCCTCACCGGCGTCCAAGATGCCGCAGGGCTTCCTCAACGTCTGGAGCTCTTTGACAAGCTTCGGGTGCTTCGGGCCTCGCGGATCCAGGTTCTGTCCAGCGTCCGGGCCAACAACGAACATCTTGTCCAGGACCAGATCGCTCAATACATGGAGCCTGGAGTGCCGCGTACGTGCAGCCCCTGACTGCCTAGATTTGAAGCAGATGCTGATATGATTATGACGCTTAGTACCCAACTCATTCCTTGGCCGGCTGGTTCACGATGCTCGGTAAGTCATCCATATCCATGTTGCCTGTTACGGATTGCCACTAATGCTCTTTTACTTGGAGATTTGACGCATTGGCGCACTGTGAGGAAGGGCTTCGGGAATTGAACAATGCAGAAACACTGCATTGATAAATGGATAGCTTGTAAAACTTTGTTCATGGCATACAGCTTCTTCTATAACGTGGTATCTAGAGTAGATTTTCTAGCTACTTCTATTTGTTTTACTATTTTCGCAGAAATATAGCTTTCACACGTCCAGACCCAACCAAGCTTACCCAAATCTACACTTACCATCACTCAACACAAACTATAGGGTAACAGTTTGGTTCTGCTTGGAATAGAATTGACTAGAATGACAAAGGCAACGGTAGTACTCAAGCCTTGTCTTGTCCTACCCTAAATCAAAGCGCGGGCTGTTTCTGTGCCTGATGATGGAATAACAGGGAGTGTTGGTAATTTGATATCCGTTTACATGGTATCACAATTTAATTTTCCTTTTAGTCTTGACGCCTATACTACCAAGTCTGCGGTTCACGATGGTATCAACGATCTGATGGGACACGACAAGCCTAGCAGGAGCCCCCCTGCCCCACACATCGTGAGAAATAAAACGAGTACATGTTTTTGAATAAAAATAAACATGAATGTCATGTAATTATTTATAGCTGATAGGGTTATTGGTACAATTGTTATCTGCTAATTCTTGAATAAATCAAGGTACCATTTAACCGTTATTGCCTCAACAGTTGATGACCCCGGTGCCCTGGAACTAACTGTCCTGGCTCTCTGGGTAAGGGGGCACTCTGCATTGACCCCACATGTCCCCATGTGTTTTAGCGTGAACCCACTTCTAGCCGCGGATCCTTGACATGTGAACTGGTCGATTGCTTTCTAGAAGCACGGTGCGCCGTGTTAATAGCCCTTTTGCCGCGGCAATATGCTTTGTCTTGGATATTGTATGATACTTGGTAGTTTTATATTAAAAAGTGCACACATGTATCTAGTTGTATATAGTTTAATTCGGTTTATATAAATACAGTATTCCTATACACATAGAGCGGTTTTATATATGGAGAGCAATTTTGTATATGAAGAACTTTTAGAGCCAAGGTCGCCAAGATATCGCAACGACCGGACGACGACAAGCGTCAAAACCTCGTGGACCATGCGTGCTCAAAGTGGCAAATTCAAGGGCTTATGCGTCTTCGGCATGATACGTTCCATGCCCACAAATGCGGTTGATTCGACGCCTATACTGGGTTTGTACTAGTGCCTAGTTCCAACTGAACCGTCAAAGCACGATGCGCCACGCGAAGATCACGTCACCACATGTGAAGCCACGACGATCCTTGCACCGGCGGCCCAACGCGCCTTTGCACGAGCCACCAGAAATTCTCTCCTATTCTGAAAAAGGGGCACCGAGCCCTGGCGTGACATTGACTACATCTAGCAATACAAGTTATTACCTGGTTTGGGCCGAGTGTCTATCCCTTTCTTTGGCATGCGCGATGCCTCTGTAGTCGTACCCAAGGTGTGCCTCTCAGTCTCGATGGGTAGAGTAGAAACTAATAATAGAATGACTACTCGCCTCCGTTTTTTGCAACGTGCGCCCCGGAATTTCGTCCTAAAACTGCATGTGCCCCGTTGGTGTATGATAAAACACCGGCTTCTCTGTACACCCCAATCATCTGAAGCACGGTCCGAGATGCTCAGACCTACGTGGTCCCTAACACTCTGTTTTATGGAACCTGGAAAACTCACCGAGCTAAAACAGAAAAAAACAGGGACTGCAATTGCACACATGGTCCCTTGGTGGTTATCGACACTTGCACAACCAAACGTAAAAATCTCGCCGAGACATGGACCGGTGACTGGCTCGGACTTGGCTGCTTTTCGTCAATGCCAGACCATATCAAATGACCCTCGACTCGTGCTCCGTACCCCGTGCTCGAACGTCCGGTGCCCGGACACTCTATGATCCCGTTGAAGGGATAAGGGGGAATTGGCGGCACCCGAGCCGAATTGGCCCCATACAAGGCAGTGCTTGTTAGTTAGATAATATATCGTGGGTAGAGACTATTTCCCTACAACTTGACGATTTGATTCTCAGACTCGCCCTTCTCTCATCATCCACCAATTGCACTCTCCCCTAGATATCTTGAGCAGCACATCAAGACCAGCTTTGAGGAATTTAGTACGACACAAACTCCTTATGCAGCATTTAAACCCTCAAACCCCATATACTCAACCATGAAACTGCGTGTCGCAAATTTCCTCCTCTTTGGGGACCAGACCGTAGAGAAGCTCCCAGCCATTCGGCACCTGGTGAGCCATGGCTCATCCTCACCACTCGTCCAGAGATTCCTGCGCGAAGTGTGCGATGCTGTACAGCTTCAGGTCAGCAAGCTGCCTCAGCACTCGGAGCAGCGCAGCAACATTGGGAATTTCGACAGTATCCTTCGACTAGCCGAGAATAATGCCCGGCTGGAGGAGCCCAACGAGATTATTGCCACCGTCTTGATGAATATCGCACGTCTGGGAGAGCTCATTCTGTACGCTGGCGAAACAATCCCATGCCATTTGCTATCATTCCGTGTCGGCTGACCACGTCCAAACTAGATATGCAGAGCAAGACCCTACTGTTCTCGCCTCCAAAGGCAACCGCAACTGTATTCTGGGATTCTGCACCGGCGAGGTGGCCGCTGCTGTGGCCGCCGTCGCGCAGGACACCAACGAACTCGTTGAGCTGGGAGTTGAGGTGACACACATCATCTTTCGCATGGCCCGCGAACTCAATCGCCGGTCTCTCATGGTTGACCGTACCAACGGCCCCTGGGCCAGGACAATACTGGGCATTTCAGTCGATCGCGTCCGGGAAATCCTACAAGACTTCCACGAGAACCAGGTCAGTCATGCAAGTCCCAAATTCCCACCCGCCGCGTGATTCAGCGTTTGCTTATAGTATTGGTTCTCACAGTCTATTCCTCGCGCGCGACAAGTCTGCATTGGCTTCGTCTCAGATGGCTGGTTGACACTCTTTGGCCCGCCCACAACTCTGCAACGGCTTTTAGAATGGTCGGCAGAGTTGGAAGACGCTCCGCAAATCGACACGGACGCCCGCGGAGGCGTGCACATGGAGACGCTGCCAGAAGTTGACCCGGATCGGATTCTTGGCTCATCGCCATGGCTGGACCGGGCCCCCGTGCACACGGCCACCATAATCTCTCCCTACACGTGCAAACCGCGGCAGCAGAAGACGTTGAGGGGGCTTCTGGAGGAAATCATTGCAGATGTCGGGCAGAGGACGTTGAATTTGGCCACGTCAATGAACGCGGCCCTTGAGCTCGCACAGGCAGACAAGATCCGCCTTGTCATGCCCGGCTACACGAGCCACGACGTCTACTTTCAAAAATTGCTGCAAAAACGTGGCATAGAGTATTCCGTCATGTCACACGGGGACCATTTGTCGTCAGGTCCCAGCCGACAGGGTTCAGGCCTTGTGGCTGTCGTCGGCATGTCTGGGAGGTTCCCAGGGAGCGGCGACATCAACGCATTTTGGGAGGGTCTTTTGGAGGGCAAAAGATATATCCAAGAGGTCAGATTCAGTCCATGCAGCCCCTCTTACCCCTATTTTAGTATATCGCAGGGTCACTCACTCATGACAGATTCCAAATACACGGTTTGACCTGGAGCAATGGTACGATGCCACGGGAAAACAAAAGAACTCTACCCTGGCGCGGACAGGAGCCTTCCTCGACAAGCCGGGCATGTTCGACAACCGCCTATTCGACATGTCGCCCAGGGAGGCCATGCAGACAGACGTCCAGCACCGGCTGCTCATGACAACCAGCTACGAGGCACTGGAGATGTCGGGCTACTATCCCGACGGCACGCTTTCGACAAACAAGGACCGCGTCGCCTCCTTCTTTGGCCAGACGTCTGATGACTGGAGAGAGGTGGTGGTCCACCAAGGGGTAGACATCTACTTCGCCACGGGAAGCTGCCGCGCTTTCGGACCAGGCAGACTGCATCACCACTTCAAATGGGGAGGTCCGTCTTATAGCGTCGACTCGGCCTGCTCTTCCAGCATCGCAGCCGTCGGTTTAGCGTGCTCGGCGCTCCTCGGCCGCGAATGCGACATGGCTGTGGCTGGTGGAGGATCCCTCCTCCTCTCCCCATCACCCTTCTCGGGGCTAAGCCGTGGCGGTTTCCTGTCCGCTCATGGAGGGTGCCAGACGTTCCACGACAATGCCGACGGTTACGTCCGTGGAGAGGGAGTTGGCGTGGTCGTTCTCAAACGGTTGGAGGACGCGCTGGACGACCAAGACAACATCCTCGGCGTCGTCCGGGGATCCGGACGCAACTACAGCAGTGATGCTTCTTCCATGATGCATCCCTCGGCAAATGCCCAGAAAAAGCTGTACTGCGATGTGCTGGAGCAAAGCGGTGTAGACGCCAACAGCATCTCGTACGTGGAGATGCATGGAACCGGGACACAGGCCGGAGACTTTATGGAAATGTCCTCGGTCTTGTCAACATTTGCAGAAAAGCGAGGCTCGGATAATCCGCTCATTGTTGGGGCCCTGAAGGCAAATATTGGCCACGGGGAAGCTGTAAGTTTCTGACAAGAGTGTCTTTGGAAAGATTCCTGTGCTCATGCTCTATAGGCGGCCGGCGTTTGCGCTCTTATCAAAACCCTCATGATGCTCCAGTCTCGACAGATCCCCCCCCAGCCCGATCTTCCTGGACCTATTAACCACCGCTTTCCTGATCTAGCAGCCCGTAATGTATACATCGCGGCCCGCAACATGAGACTGGAGGCCAGTCCGGTGGCCAAGGGCACGCTACGCGTGTTTCTCAACAGCTTCGACGCCTCGGTAAGAACGAACCCTCAAGGTCAGTCACGCGTGATGCCCA